CAGGAGCACCAGCGACGCCATCGCCGCAGCCGCGGTGACGTTCCTCTCGACTGCCATGGCAATCGACCAGCTAATTAATTTTGCTTTGGTTTATTGGATTTGCGAGTGAGATGAGAGGCTCTCCTTGCGACGTCGGGTGATGGGTATTATATATTGGGTGAAATTGCAAGCAAAAAAATGGAGAATTGATCCTTTTTTGATTAATTTGGTGGTGAATGAATGACGCGATTTGCATTAAATTATTTTTTTGATTTAATGAAAATATTGGGAAAATTCTAGATATGAGCCATATTAATGGATTATATATATTGAATGATGAATGACGCGATTAGCAGCAAATTATTATTTTTATTTAATGAAAAGATTGGGCAATTAATTCTGGATATGAGCCATATTAATGGATGATATATAGGGCGGTATTGCAAATACTAGAAAATAGGGGATTTTGATTTGGTGTTAAATGACGCAGGATTAGGAGCAAATTAATTGTGTAAAATACTTGGGGAGGGGATTAATTACCTTAGTAAATATATTCCCAAAAATCCAATTAATAGATATCTTGATATGGATCTCATCCTACACTATTAAATACCTTGTTATTATTTGCTAATTTTGCACCAAACCAAATCGAAATCATTTTACCCCATTTTTGGTTTATAGCCTGATCTTTACAGTATGTTAGGCCTTCTAGAACCTGGATAAGTTTGCACTAACCCACATTGGGCTGAATTGTTATCCTTAATTAACTTATTCAGCTATGCCCCAAAATATAATTACCTTTAGATATGTGTGAGAATAAATATTTTCCTAGATATGGTTAAATGTAGCATTCAGCTATATTTTAGGATAAGAGAATACCATCTAGCGCAGATCAAAACTGTTTTGATTTCAATAAGTCAAACTCGTATATTTCGATCAAACTATTGTTGATCAAAACTACTTGTGTCAAGGTTACGGATAAGATATACCCTCTACTCTTGGATGTATGTTGTATACTAATACGGCATACCCGCGCGTATACGGATAGTTTCCGTATACGTTAAGGAAGCCTATTATATGATAGAAACAGAATCTACAAATAGAAACAGAATCTATAGATGGGAAGAGTTCTACTCGGACAGTACTGGGTCTTTACCATATCGTGTGGGGTCCGCTATTTCCGAGTACTACTTGGAGATCAACTGATCCGCGGTATATAAGGGTCCCTTGGGCAGGACATAAGGCATCGAATCTCACCGCCAACACACCCACCACAGCCTACGGAGCCAGAGCGCGCAGGAGCAAGTCGCCAGGAGATCTAGTCGGACCAACTCGACTACAGTCTCGTTAGTATCATCGAGTTCCGCTATTCCCTTTGTAATCTGTGGTTTATATTATATAATCCCATATCAACTGGATTAGGACTATTACCTACCAAGGGGCCTGAACTAGTATAATCTTTGTCTTTTGTTTGCTCGATGTTGTACTCCGTAGATCCTCGTACCAACGGACCGCAATACCCTCTATATTCGGTCTACGGGTATCCCCCGTCGACAACTTGCTTGAGAGCAACACGAAGAGAATAAAAGAGTCATATTTTTCACGCGCACTAAACGGTGTGTTTTTTTTTTACCAAAACAATATATATAAAAGTTGCTTAAAAATCATATTAATCCATTTTTCAAGTTTAAAGTAATTAATATTTAATTAGTTATGCATTAATGACACATTGTTTTTCGTATCTTCCCAATTTTCTCTTTCTCTCCTCTCAATCTTCTCTTTTGCCATTGTGCCACCACAAACTTTCTACCAAACGATATAAAAAAGAATTATCATTTTTTTCAAGAAGAATAATTATTTTTTAGCTAGGAAGATCGATCATGCATTCGCACATACATGTGTATTAGTTTATCTTGAAAATAGCTATACTAAATTAAGTCTAAATTAGGAGTTATATTTTTCTAATTGAATGATCATTGCCACTCTTCTTTTTTTAAAAAAAAATGTCCAGGGAAATTTTTGTTGGTATAAACAACAACACAAATTTAAACCTGTATAAACTAAATGAAATTTCTATCTTATTCAGACTCTCTTTGTATAGAGTATAGACTTATAAGCTACCTCATGAGTTAAAAAGTCTAAGCCTAAACAAATATGCAACCTTTTTCATTTAGATTTTTTTAAAGCCATAAGTCACTTTTACACTATTAAGTTAAAAGCTAGATTGGAGAAATTGTTTTCCTTTATTTTAAATATAAATATAACACCACCTTTAACTTAGGATTTTAAATCTACCGGCTTATAAATCATATAAGCCAAAGTCTAACTTAAAAGCTTGAGCCAATAAACCGAAGCGTAAAAAAAAAAAAACCCTCCGTGTATAAACAGTGCCAACCGACCCTAGTCGTCCTCTAGCCTTCTTCCGCCTCCGGGTTATATGAGCAGTTGAAGATGGAGGAGGAGAGGCGGGACTCATGCTATCAGATCGATCTACCGCCACCCCCCCCCCCCCCCCAACCCCAAAACCTCCTCCTCTCCTGCGACCAAGGTGTTGCCATTGCCTTCTCACAACCACTGCCCACTGCCAAACTTCCTCTCCCTGTGATCTCTCTCTAACTCCACCAACCCTCTTTTCATGCCTGTATTTGTTGAAGTGTAGTCATCGTCATCACTACGTCGTGGGAGAAGAAGTTCTTTCTCTTGCCACTCTCTCTCCATTAGTGTCAGTGCCTGTAGATTAAAGACCACTCCCTAGCCTATGGATCTCAATCTCAGTTACATGATAAATAGCAAAGCCCGTAAGAAATATTACATTAGACAAAATGAAGAAAAACACATTCTACTAATCATGTTTGTTTATTTCCAATTACGCTGCATTACACATGATGGTTGATGAAGACAATAAGATTCTGAGTAGTACACAATAACACCATTGTATAAAGGGGTTTAATTAATTTCGCTAGAACAAATGGTACGACGATGGCGGTGGCTTGCTAGGACCGGAGGGTGGTACTTTCCCCCGCGGCTTGGCGGGAAACGAGACCCCCTCGTCGTCGTCGGCCAACCCAACTGCCGGCGGCGGCTTGCTAGGACCGGAGGGCGGCACCTCCCCCCGTGGCTTGGCGGGAAACGAGACCTCCTCATCTCCGCCGGCCAACCCAGCCACCGGCAGCGGCGAAGCCCGACCGGAGCTCCCGCCGCTGAGATGGGATGGCGGGAGCGTCCCCGTTAGGGAGGGAAACAAGACCGGCCCCTCGTCGTCGGAGGTTGCAGGATCATCATGCTGCGACGAGGACGAAGCGGACTTGAGCTGCCTCATGCCCACGGCCGCACGGCGCGCTTCCGCCGCCGCCGCCGTCACCGCCAGAAGCAGCAGCAGCAGCAGCGCCGGGCTAGTGTTTCTCCTCCAGATCCGGGTGGCCATGGCTGATCGATCGATCTCTCCTGCTGACTGATGAGGATGGACGATGGAATAATCGGGCTATTTGTAGCACATCGCATTGAGTGATTACATCGATGGATTGGGTTTATAAATGGAAACAGATTAATTAATTAATTTGTGCTCATCTTGGAAAAAGATAATTTAATCTATAGATATCATGCTTAATTATCATCTTATTAATGCATGCCTCATCTTGCGCAAAAACATTCGCTGATGAAGTCGTGATGAGATCATACATACACGTCATCATTACATTGTTTATTTATGCAGTATGGGACAAACGGAAGCGGTTCCTCTTACATGAACTGTCCCAAGACGTGGTTACTGATAGGTGGGCATACGAGCAGTGATATCCACATGTCAGTCATCACGTTCCTCTGACTTCATGTCGGAGGATCCCAATCCGGGACGGACATTAGTGGAGGCTAATGTGAATGTGATTGTGGCCTCCGGCAATTTTGGCTCATATATAAGCCCATAAATTGATGCACACAGCCCAGACTATCAAGGAAATTGACACGGAAATATTGTCCAGTCATTTTCTAGCTTAATTATATTACGGGTCATTTTGGAGCGATGCCAAAATGTGGCATATCAATTATTTGGTAACTTAATTAAATAGTAGTTGTCAACGTTTGATATCGCAATTCCGGTATTTGCATAGTATGGGGATCGTTGGTACTAGGATATATGCGAGATTGTAATAAAAGAGATGGTGACAAGGATTTTATACAGGTTCGGGCTCCTGAATTGTTAGGTAATAACCCTGCTCCTGTTGGTCGAAGCCGGTCGTTGCTCTTATGCATCATAATCACACCAGTACAATATTTGGGGTAGCCTATCTAACCGTTGTCGACTTGGCGATTTGAAGTGCTGACTCGTAGACAACAGGGTAGCCTTCCTCCTCGAATCCGCATCCGGCAAGATCAAAGACATCGCTATGTCTCTCCTATCAGTATCCGTAGATACCGTAGGGGACTAGCTATGTTTATCTCTGAAGTCGATATCCGGCGTCTTGTCTTGGCGTATGTTGGCTTGTATGTTGATCTATTGTTTCGTGTCTTGATCTATTGTTCCCTCCCCTCTCCTCCTAGGGGACCTTGTATTTATATCCATAGGTGTCCCCTTGTCCAAATAGAACTAGGGAAACCAATATGGATACAATCCGAGTAGTCCTTGTCGTTTCCATGTAGAAATCTATTTATCTTTCCTTATCCAGAACTCCTTCTATATCCAAAGGTTGTTTCCGTATAAAACATGGTATGTGGTGGGTCCTGTCGAGATTTAGTCAACTACTATTATGTATGTGGTATCCATAACCCTGACAGTAGTGTGATTAGTTTAGATTAGACCGGAGGCTTGATGGTGACTGGTGGGGGCGCTGGTGCAATGATGCCCACGCGTCGTCACTTGTGGAGCATCGGGACATCATCTATAGACTTGCAGGCGGTGAGCGGCAGGTGAAAATCTAGCCCGGCCTTGGCCGGGCCGGCAATGACGGCATTCTCGAACGTTTTTACCCCTCTTGAAGACATTGTCGTGCCGCCCGTTCTTGAGGCCTTAGCCTTCTTGAGGCCTTGACAGACGGCAGCGGCGGTTTATCTGTCGCTCCTCTCCTTGGAGACTTCGTCTAGGCACCCCCTTGCCAAAACCTCCCAAGCAATAGGTGCAAGCTCGCTCTAGATTCATTTTCTCTTGTGTCGGCGTCCTAGCTTCCGCTAGTTGGCCACGTCGGAGGGTCCAGGGGGGAGAGCAGTTACATTCTTCTCTCCCACCCTCTCTCCCTCAATCCCAAAGATTTGGATAGAGCGTGGTTGTGTCAATTGTAAGGGTTGGGTTTTGAGCGATCTCGGCTATGTTCTGTTGTTGGGTTAGCGGTGGTCGGTCCGGTGATAGACTTCTCCTGGGGCTGTGTGTTGGTGTTGTCGGTGTGTGGGTGGTGGTATATTTTTTTCCTTTTTCTGGTTACGACCTTTCAGGATTGTAATCTTATTTTTTTTCCTGCTCTATTAATAGAACTTCGTTAAAAAAAAGTTTGGATTAGAGCTAAAGAATTGATAATGCATTAATGCCTATACTTGTTTTGGCAACATTCTAAACCTTTCTTCACTAATATCAAACACATTGGTAGCAAACCAAAATGAACTCTACCCAACTTAAAAAATTGGTAGTACCAAAATTTATCTAGATTTTAGCGCTACCAATGAATAGGTAGGGTAGAGAACCAAATAAACCCTACATACCTATATATGCCTCTAGTAAAAAGCTCCCCTAAATGATCAAACCTTCCTAAAATATTTCTAAATGTATTCTTATATTGATCAGGGTTCAAATTTCGGAATGAAATTTCTAAAATTTCGGTCATTTCAGAACCCCCCCCCCCCTATTATTTTGGCCAAAAAAATTATTTTTTTGTGAATTTGGTAATATTTTGTTTAAATTTGATCAACATTTGTTCAAAATTTTGGAAATTTCAGACCAAAATTTCAGAAATTTCGGTAAATCGGTCCAAACCAAAAAATTAAACCCGGGTATTGATTAATCTGAATTATGCTTTCATTTGCGAAACACAGTAAAAAAACACATTTATATACATGCGAGTACAATCATCCAAGGATCGCATACATGCAAACCTGTTTACTCCTATAAACATTTAACCTGAGAGGCATGCATATCCATGCGCATCATCATCGATGGATAGTAGAACATCATATAAAAAGAATATTAGACGTAAATACTTGCACCATGCTTAGTTGGAGACAAACCTGAATGTATTGATAAAAAAAACTAACTGAGCATCGCATTAACCATACGGATTCTGAAGCGTCAAACGGAGCAATGAAGAAAAGGTTGTAAAATAGTACTCCCTCCGTTTTGAAATGTTTGACACCGTTGACTTTTTAGCACATATTTGACCGTTCGTTTTATTCAAAAACTTTTGTAAAATATGTAAAATTATATGCCTACATAAAAATATATTTAACAATAAATCAAATGATAGAAAAAGAATTAATAATTACTTAAATTTTTTGAATAAAACGAACGGTCAAATATGTGCTAAAAAGTCAACGGCATCAAACATTTCGAAAGGGAGGGAGTACAACATAAGCTGAAATGGTGTTTCAGATATGCTTTTGAATTTGTGTTTACCATTTCACCCTCAGGATCAGAGTGCTTCACCACGTTGATGAGCGTCCTAAAGAAGAACAGAAAAATTCAAGTATGATATAATTAACTGCTAGCTAGTTGGAGTCCTAAAAAAGTACAGAAGGTTCCGAATCTGATCTAATTAACTGCAAGCTGGAATGCTCCAGTTTGATGCATGCAAGCTAAGTCGATGAGCAGGATGCATGATTTCTTCAAAAACCTGTATATGCTTGTATATGATCTAATTAACTGCAAGTTGGAAACTTGGAATACTCCAGTTTTTGAATGAAGGAAACCAGTTTGATCTACTCTGTTCAATTTCGGATATATCACAGCTTTATATATCTTTCGTACGATTCAAAAACCTTCGTTGGTTTTTCTCAGCTAGCTAGTAGCTCTCACGACAATGTGACCAGCATTGATGGATGAAATTAAAATAACAAAATTATGAACGAATTGTTAACGACCGCTTAATCTTACCTTATTTTTGTTTTTTTAGAAGGCTTAATCTTACCTTCTTGAGATGCAGATAACAATTTTGCCGGTAGTAGCATATGCTCATCATGCAGCTGTAGGATATTCCCGGAAGACATGGAGAACGTTTTAGAAACCGATGCCTAAAAATAATGGGCCTTCAACCCGTACTATCTCTTCCTACTCTATCTTATCCATACACACATTTATCAATCTTCAAAATATTTTTTCTTTTAAACTATTTATCCGATATATAATCCAATTACATTATTATATTCATTATAACTACATCTTTATAACAAGAGGGACTACCTATATATTTGTCGACAAATTTTTCCCCAAAAATTTGACAGATGTAATTATAGTACAATTGTAGTGTAATTACACTGTAACTTATATGTAATTACACTGTAACTTGCATGTAACTACAATGTAACTTATATATAAGTTTCACATAATTTTGAATCGTTAGATCTATTACACGATTTGTTTTGGTGAGGAAGAAAACAAATCATAGCACACACATATGTGAAAGAATTTGTTCCCACGACCTCCATTTTACCGAAATAACATGTTATGGAGAGATTTTTGAAAGTTACATACAAGTTACACTATAGTTATAGTGTGATTACATAGAAGTTACAGTGTAATTACACTACGATTGTACTGTAATTACATCTGTCAAATTTTTAGGGAAAAATTTGTCGATAAATATATAGCAAAATCGTACCAACATAACATATTTCAGTGTGTGTTTTTATTGTGTACCATAAAATTTAGGCACTATCTGCTCTTACTCTTTCTCATGCCACTCTCTCTCCACTCTATAAAAAAAAGAACACATATTTTAACCTTTAAAAACTTATTATTTCATTGTGATAGTGACATGTTTTAACTTGTATTCTTTGTGTTTCAAAAGAAATTAAAATGTTTTAATTACCTTTTTTTCACTAAGTGTAAAATGAAAACTTTAGGCAGTCCCTTTTTCTTAAGGAATCGTACGTCCGATCTGGAGTTTCCTCCGATTTGGAGTACATCGGACGAACACCTGTCAATCTCATCTCACACAGATTTTATTCTCCACCTAGCTAGATGCCGACACCTGCATCACACGCCCACACAATTTAAAGCAACCCCACGAATCGATACACGCAAATTCATGCGCGAACTCGCAGCTGACACGTACGTCGACGCCGCCCGCCGCCATGAACGTTAGGATCGAGAGCTCCAAGATCGTCAAGCCGCTCTACGACGCCGGCGGCGGCGCCCGCCGCCGCCGCCGGCCGGCGAGAGCGTGCCGCTCAGCGTGTTCGACAGGGTCACCTACGACGTGTACATGGCCGTCATCTACGCGTTCCGGCCGCCCACCCCGCCCAACGCGGCGCTCGAGCTGGGCCTCGCCAAGACGCTCGCCGTCTACCGGGAGTGGGCGGGCGAGCTGGCCGACGGCGGCGACGCCGTTCTGCTCAACGACAGGGGGGGGGCGCTGTTCGTGGAGGCCGCGGTGAGCGCTCCGCTGGCGGCGGTGATGCCGTTCGGGCCGTCGCCGGAGCTGCTGCGGCTGCACCCGAGCAGGCGGCGGCCGCGCCGGCCGGGAGCTGGTGCGCGTGCAGCTCACGCGGTTCGCCTGCGGCTCGCTGGTGATCGGGTTCACGTCGCACCACCGCGTCGCCTACGGGCAGGCCGCCGGGAACTTCCTCGTGGCGTGGGGCCTCGCGTCGCGGCGGCTGCCCGTGGCGCCGCTCCCCGTCTGCGACCGCGCCACGCGGTTCCCGCCGCGCCACCCGCCGCTCGTCCAGTTCCCGCACCGCGACACGGAGTACTACGCGCCCAAGAAGAAGAAGAAGAACCACGACGCCGGCGCCGTCGCCGTCGAGGACGACGACGACGAGCTCGCCACGGTGGCGCACGACAAGATCAAGGTCCACTTCACCAAGGAGTTCGTGGCGGGTGTCAAGGCGCGTGCGTCGTCGTCGCCGTCGCCGTCGCGGCGTGGGTACAGCACGTTCGAGAGCGTGGTCGGCCACCTCTGGCGCGCGGCCTCGCCGCCGGCGAGGCCACGACGCTCCGCGTCTCCGTGAACGGCCGGACGCGCATGCGGCCGGCCGTCCCGCGCGGCTACTTCGGCAACCTCGTCCTCTGGGCGTTCCCGCGGTGCGCCGCCGGCGAGCTGGCGTCCCGCCCCGTGCAGCACGCCGCCAAGCTGATCCGCCGCGCCGTGGCGCGCGCCGACGACGCCTACTTCCGCTCGTTCGTCGACTTCGCGTCGTCCGGCGCCGTCGAGGCCGAGGGGCTCGCCGCCACCGCCGACGAGTCGCAGGCGGTGCTGTGCCCGGACGTCGAGGTGGACAGCTGGCTGGGCATCGACTTCTACGAGCTCGACTTCGGCGGCGGCGGCGGCGGCGGCGGGCCGTTCTACTTCACGCCGTCGTACTTGCCGATGGAGGGCACCGTGTTCCTCGTGCCGTCCTTCGCCGGCGACGGTGGCATCGATGCCTACGTGGCCTTGTTCGAGACTCACCTCGACGAGTTCAAGAAGATTTGTTACACGTATTAGCTGCTGCTAATTAATTACACTGCTTAGTTAAGTAATTAATCTGTTCGTTTCAATAATTAACCATCGTGTCGACAGCTTTGCAGGCGTCCATGCAAATAGTACAAGAAAGAAAGATCCAGGAATGTATAATACAGTAAAAAAAAAAGTGGTGTTATTGTATTGTGAAGTTATTTTCCGCGTACGACAAAAAATAACTGAACAATCACTCTTTGATGCGCAATGTATCAATATTTGGCCTTCTCATCTCTCACCAAAATGGATCAAATGGTGAGTGAACCAAGCATGCTGCTGAGATGTCATTGATTAGTAGCTAGTGAGATAACCCCAGAATTATCAGTATTGTATACGCACTGACTGATGATCCACTAAATTGTTAGTAATTGAAACAAGAAATACTAGTGGTTTTCTTGGATGTGTAGTGATGCCAACTTGGAAAATTTGACATCAGTATGTTCTACTAGAGTAGTGTTAGTTGGTAGTAGCACAATTAGTCCAGGGCTCCCAGGTACAATAGGTTTCACAGCTTACAAACGCTCCATATCAAATGTAATTAAATGGAGCCCCCACATAATAGTACATGGTAAAACCTTCTTGCAAACCAGTGATTTGCAGCAGGCTATGTACATCTGACAGAGATGCAGCTCTACTGTGATATGAATTCAGCTACAGACTCCTCTAGAATATCATCATGTAACATCTTGACAATCTCTGCTCCTATTGCTTCAACTTCAGAATGATGGTCCAATGGCAAAGCTTCAACACAATCCAAAGAAAAGGGTTCATAATTCCTCCTATTGAGCACTGTTTGCCAAACATTTTCAGCTAACTTCCTTGGATCCATTTCAGACCAACACTTCACCATGATATTTGAACACAGACTGTTGCCTGGAGCAGTCATATCAGCTAAGATGGAGTTTATGAGGTCAAACAAAAGTCTCCTGTCCGATTTCGACCATAGAAGCAGCTTGCTGTACTTGTCTTCAAGCCACACAAACACATCTGGGCTCACTTGCCAATCTTCTGGGTAGACTAGAAAATCAGATGCTGAACCAAGTATATCATTTGTATAACTGAAGTCCCTGTCGTACTCATCCTTAAATACAGGTAATTGCTCTTCCATCAGCTGATAGGTCAAGTTGTCTGTATCACTGCACTCATCACTCGACAACATATAGATATCATCTCCACAGGTATCATCTTGGTCACCCATCTTCAGCATCTTAAGTTGCATTCTAAGTTCTACATTTATGGGAAGAGACAAACATGAATAACATGAACAATGTGATAATATTGGAGTGCAGAAAAGTAGAATGAGTTTTTGATACACATACCTTGAATACCGTCACTGACGCCTTTAAAAATTCCAGAATATGCAGTATCATGTCCACAAATTTGTTGCAATGAAGCAGTTGAATTTGAGCATTTGTGATTTTCTAAGCTTATGATATGAGAAGAATCTATTGCTTGAGATTCAGCTTCAGCGATGTCAATCTCCACTTGTTGGTTTCTCCCCTCCTGGTCCTGGAGCCAAATTTAGTAACTTTAATAATTAGAATTAAACAACAAATGACTCAAAGCTATGTATACCATATCATACTATATGAAGTTAAGATATTGCAATTTACTAGCCCATAAACTACAGTAGCAAAATGAAAGTCCAGTAGAACATTCGGTACCCTAGAAGTATGAAAACATGATAACTGTCCAGTGTCAACCTCCACCCACCCACTTACTTCCTCACACTTGGAAAACTGGGGATCAGTTCTTAATGCCAATTTCCTTAAAAAATCATTTTCTATTTATAGGAATTCTGTTAATTTTTCATGCTGATTATTTGTATGATTGTATCTGCTGACAAGTTAACAAGAAAAACAATGTGAAAAATCATAAAACGAATATTGTTGCGGCATACCTTCAACACTATGTTGTCCTGATTATGAATCGATGTGTCTTCTTTTGTCACTGGTAATGGTGGTGTTAGTTTCAGCTCTGTCCACCCCATCCTTTCTTTAGAACTTTGTAAATCATCATCTAGAGCAGTAGAACCAGATGTTTGGTGATCCTCATTACTCATAACACCATCAGGATGTTCACTATGTGTGTTGCTTGCTCGAGACAAATCGGAAATGCAGATACTATGTCTTGCTTTCTCTGAAGTTACATGAATCTCTTTCACAGGTAGCATGTTTTCCTTTCCTGCATGGATGATAGCCTTCCCACTTCTCTGCTTTGTTTTTCTAAAAGATGATCTATTCCTGACATGTTCACTTCCAGATTCATCAGTTGGTGCATTCAATAGATCTTTCAGAATGGGCAGGTTACAAATTGGTGCAGATTGTTTCCTGCACGGTAATTTTGCATTGTTGGTAGCTGAGGTCGGTAGAGACTTCGACCTAGAAAAATTCCTCGATGTGCCAGATCTTGAATTATCTTTACAATAAATCCCTGTCTTCCAACCATCTTTACTACTGATACCAACAGGACAGGCTGGTGCCTTCTGCACATTATCATGATTGTAATTGGTTTCTGATGAAATCTTGTGGGTGATTACTTTTGTCGCATCTCTATCGGTCATCTCAAGCATCTCCCCTAATGTTATGGTATCTTTAGGCATTGAGATTTCTTCATCAGATTGATAGGCCATCTGCCATCGTTCCGAGAGGTGCTTTTTGGCCTTTCTGCAGACTGATGATCCAACAGAATGATTGGGTGGGTAAATTGGTAGGTTATCTTCAAAAGAACTAGGAGTATCTGTTGCCCTTCCACTGCCAATTGCAAGCTGACACTCTCTCTCAGACGATTTCCTTCTGGAACCTATTTTAGGGGTTTCTATTGCACCCCTCAGTCCAGGTGTGTCTCGTTTTGGTTGTAAAACTTGATCATTGTTAAGTGGTGCAGAGTGCGTGACTCGCCCCCTATGCATACAATGGTGTTGGGGCCTTGAACAGTTGTTAGTGCTCATTTCACCAAAATGCGATGTTTCACTTGATAGGACAGGTGTAAAACTTTTCCTCTGAAGATTTGGTTTCAGAACAACAATTTGGGAACGACGGCTTGAACCTTTACTCTTGCTCCCTTTTGGTGGCAAAGAATCCAGTGGTACACCATAAGTTTCGTTGAGACGACTACTAGGAATAGGATTTTCCAACTCCTTTGGTACATTAAAAAACTCGTCACGTTCAACACCCATGCGAGAACAGTTCTCTTGCTCAAACAATTTGGAGTATTGTAATCCATTGTGACCAAAGATGTGCCCTGAGAATCCTGGCAATGCACCACTGTTCTCCTGAAGGATTTCAAGGAAGGCATCTTTTTTGGAGTACAATATCTCAAGTGCTTCAGCAAACTCCTTAGAATTCCTATGGGATTCATCGGTGGAAAGGCGCTTCGCATCCAAGAATTTCTGCCTCACAAATTCCAAATCATCCTTATCACTCCTGGGACATGGCTCCTCGTTCCCTGATTGCAACCCAATGCACGTCTCCTTATTCTCCATCTCAGTGACCTCGAAAACATCCTTGAGTTCAGGAAGATCATCAGCACTGCTGCTACATGGTTGATCCTCAGATGAAGCATCATAGACTTGATCACCTCCAGATAGGACCCGCTGCATATTGCACTGAATGTCACTTTGGCACCGGTCAAGAGCTTTCTTGGGGCGAGGCACGGTGTCAAGTCCCATGAGCCTGGCAACAATACCAGGTGAACAATGTGTGAACTCCACTTGCTCCGGTCTTTCCTTTGCAGATGGTGTCTTTGCAGGAACCAGATTTCTTTTGTTAGAGAAACCCTGCAGAACATAGAGAGGACACAACGCATTAGCCTTAGGCAGGAGCTCAGCAAGAAACGAAATTTCCTGCAGTAATGCACATGTGGACAGTGCAGTAGCCTGTACCTTCGTGGAATCATTTTTCCCTTTATGTGATTCTTCAGGCAGCATCGTTTTCTTAGCTCTTTTAGACCCTCGTTTGAATTCAAAAGTGAACTGGTACGATCAAGTAAACATTAGGGGACAATGAGAGACTCAACAGTGAATTTCAGCAACAGGATGCGATATAAAAATATCTGAATCTTGAGAATGCCGTTAAGCTTGCTGAAACAGAGCTACTCAAAAGTACAGGCAAATCAAACGAATCAAAGCATACGCCATACTCGCTCGCCGACATTAGCACGTACTACTCATAGTAAGCTTACGGCAACAACACGCAGCACAGTGGGAAGGTAAAACTCAAATGAAAAATGGTGTGCTTACAGAGGTCTCTTCCATGGAGGAAACCACCGGATCCTGCAACGCCGTCGCGCCCTTCGACTCCGGTGAGGTGGTTGCCGTCCGTGCCGCTGAATCGATCACCAAGGGCAATGGCGAAACCAGTTTGCTCAGTCGAACAGAAAAAAAAAAAAAACCGGAAGCGAGCACGCACGAATCGGTCAACAACTCCTCACCTCGCCGCGACGACGGAGCCGGCGAAGACGGCGGCCTCGAGCGGCGGTGGTGCTTCGCCGCGGGTCGCGAGCCACCGGTGGTGCCGCCGCCGCGCAGCATCCTTTTCCTCTCGAGGCTTCGCCGGCGCAGGCCTTCTCTCTCTCTGCTCTGCTTTGCTCGTCTCTCTCTCCACTGATGAGGATTGAGGAAGCAATTCAAAGTTCAAAGTGTGGTGGGACCCGCAAGGCTGGGGCGGTGGGTTCGGAGGCTTTTGATACGTGGGGGTGAATAGACACAGGTCACTGCGGGTGGGCCATAGGGGAAAGTCGGGTATGTTTGTCAGTGACTGTGGAGGGGGGAGAGTTGGTGGGGATGTGTGGGTGGTGGGGGTTGGAGTTGGAAAAGGTGAGCACGGGGAGGCGCGAAAGCCCATGCGGCGGGCGGCCCACCTCTTTCTGGCTCGTGAGGGCCCCCAACACCCGAGGAGGAAACACACAAAGCCTACGGTATAGAATAGGGACTCTATAGAATACTCTCCGAAATTTTGATTATTTGAAAACTTTCTTTTTAAAAAAAGATAATATGATACTAATTTGAATCCTTAGAGTAACCGGCTGCGGGCTAAAAACATTCACATCAGCAGTAAATTTAACTAAGAGCGCTCTCTCTCTCTCTGAATAGTTGCTTGATGCTGCAAGTGTGTTTGCATTGAGAAAATTACATATCTACCATTGCATAGGATGGGATTCGCTCGAATACCATTGTTTAATTGGGTTTCACTATAATACCATCGTCAACTAGTGCATCTTAGTCAAAATACCATCGTGGACAGAAATACCCTTACCTCTGCCTCTTCCAACTCCAGAAAAGAACGATGGCGGCGCCATCAGGGTGTGGTGAGCAGCTCCGGCGGCGCCGCCACGCGAGCACGCCGGGAGGATGAAGTGATGGTGCAAGCACTCGTCGGCATGGTCCCAGGGCGACAAGGACATCCGCACCAACTCCCATCTCCATCAAGCTCATCCTACCACGATCCCCGCCACACGCTCGCTCCGCGCGGCGACGGTGGTCGTGTCTGTGCCTGCTCGCGCCGTCCATGGCCACCGTCGCTCGTGTCGGGAGAGGGGGCAGCACCCAGGATGCGTCTCGTGTGTGACGTCGCTTACGTCATCTCAGCCGCTGGCCCACCCCGACTCATTGGCCGGCGACAACCTCGCCCCGGTGGCCACCAGCAACCTCTTCAAGCACAAAAGGGAGGAGGAAGAAGAAATAGAGGTATTTTTGTCCGGAATGCTATTTTGGCAAAGATGTCGTAGTTAGGGGTGGTATTCTAGCGAAGCCCATCTAAATAATGGTATTTGAACGAATCCCTTCTTATCCGATGGTAGATATGGTAGATATACATTAAGCAAACAATGACTACTAATAAGTAATAACCGCTTTATTTTGAATGTTTGTTAGGTTAACACATTCGTATAACCTCCACAATGGTATCGGATTTGTTTGATCTACATTAACTGCTTTATTTTTTAACAAAAACGACCTCACTAAATAACAAAGAAAGACAATTTTACCCCTTTAAATTTTATACTACAAACTTACGATATATTTAAATGGAAAACCACATCGATTCATACCATTAGATCATTTATATCAGCATTACATGATATAATGCTACAAGTATATCGTACCATAAAAGTTCTCAATCATAACCAAACATAACAAAATTCAAAACTTGACAGAAATGGCATGATTTTCATTTTATACGTATTCGGATGGCATGAATACAGATAGACAAAAATAGTAATGACATTTTTATAAAACAGCACATTTAGGCCTTGTTTACTTCCCAAAATTTTTCCCCCAAAAACATTACATTGAATCTTTAGACACATGCATGGAGCATTAAATATAGATAAAATGAAAAACTAGTTGCACAGTTTGCATGTAAATTGCGAGACAAATCTTTTGAGCCTAATTAGGGCATGATTAGCCATAAGAGTTACAGTAACCCACATGTGCTAATGACGGATTAATTAGGCTTAATAAAATTGTCTTGCGGTTTCCAAGCGAATTATGAAATTAGTTTTTTCATTCGTATCCGAAAACTTCTTCTGACATTCGATCAAACGTTCGATGTGACCCCAAAATTTTTCTATTCGCGAACTATATGAGGCCTTAGTAGATCCAATAAACCCTATTCTATTATCCGCGGGCCTTCTGTTTGTTGCTGGGCCCTGGGCCATGGGTGCTCGGACCGCGTGAGGCAGAGAGAGGTGGGCCGCATGGGCTTTCGCACGGCCCCCGTCGGCTCCGAAGCGTCCTACCGCATCTGACGCCTCCGCATCCAAAGCAACGTCATGGCCGATCTGCATGAGGACGATTCCGAATCCTACAAGGTCGCCGCTGTCATTATCCGATTCGATTAACCCCGCGCGATCTCTCTATATAGGCATATACTATGCATTATCTGGTTGATGATGGTGCACGTGTGTATGCATTAATCAAAAACTAATCACAAATGGCGTCCGACGACTCTTCTCCGCCAGACGCCAAGAGGCTACGCCGCTCGCCGCCGACCTCCACCTCTCCCGACCACCTCCTCGTCGACGAGATCCTCACGCGCCTCCCCATCGCCGCCGCCGTCCGCCTCCGCGCCGTCTCCCGCGACTGGAACGCCGCCCTCACCACCGACCACTTCATCCTCGCCCACCGCGCCAGGGCCGCCGCCGCGCGCCACCCGGAGCTGCTCTTCTTCGCGCCGCCGGACCACCGCAACACCACCACCTTCTACGCCTGCTCGCTCCGCGGCTGCGAGCCGCCGGCCGCCGCACGCGAGCTCCTAACCATCGACTACTTCAGCGCCAAGCACGCCGTCATGTCGCCCACGCCGTGCAGGGGCCTCACCCTCGTCTCCGACGGCCGCGCGCCGCGGTATTACCTCCTCAACCTCTCCACCGGCGATCACGTCGCGCTGCCGCCGTGCCAGCCGGCCGCGAAGGCGCACCCTGATCCGCTAGCATGGTTACCCCGTGGCACCACGAGTTATCTCCCGTCGATGACGCCATGGCGCCCCTTCGAGCTCTCGACCACCGGGCTCGGCTTCGACACGGCGACCGACGAGCACAAGGTGGTCAGGCTCTTCAAGAGACGCAACGGGGAGCACGCCTGCGAGGTGTACACCCTGGGAAAGCCCGGCGGGTGGCGCCCCTGCGCCGGGAGAGTGCCGGCGTCCGCGGCCAGCATCCTCCCAGCCATGCCGCCGGTGTTCGTCAACGGCTACCTCTACTGGCTGCTCCAGCCAGCCGCCCCCGGCGACGAGCAGATCCGGCGAATCCTATCGTTCTCCATCGGCGCCGAGCAGTTCGGGTCGGTGTACGTGCCGCCGCGGCTGTCCTCCCGAATGTGCCACCTCGCCAACCTCGACGGCTCGCTGTGCGCCGTCTTCGACTACCGCGGCGCCGGCGGCGTCTACGGGCTGTTCACGTGCAGCGAGCCCTCGGCGTCGCCGTCGCCGTCGTGGTCGGTGCGTTGCTCCATCTACCTGAATAGGCTGCCGCGAGAGGTGAGCGACGAGCTGATGGAGGAGCGCGTGATCGTGCCGCTCTGCACCGCCGGAGGCAGGATCCTGCTCGCCACGGGGCGCCACGAGGTGTTCGCCTACGACGCCGGCCGGAACGCCGTCGAGCGCGTGTTCCGCATGCAGGAGTTCGTCGATGTGCCGAATGACTGCCGCGAGGCTCGCCTGCTGCTCAGCGTTGGCCTCCACGACGAATGCATCGCCGACCTTCACCCGGGCGCCGGCGGCGAGAGGATGCTTTTTGTGAACACGGGACGCCGCGGCAACACGGTGGTCAAGCGAGAGGTGCCCGTCGAGTACCACGACGACAGCGATCGTCGTTTCAATGTATTTTTCAAGGATTTGGCCACGATGGCTGCCCAAATTTAGTTGATACTATTTGCATATTTATATTAGATTTAGTTTTGTTTATAAATACGGGATTGCTAAATCATTTTTGATATGTAAAAGTTGTATGATGTGGCTTTATGAGAGAAGAAAAGGAGGACGATAATTCCAACTATAGATTAATCATTTGAGGGATACAAATAATTGAGATAATATAACTTAATGAGAGAATAGTGAAATAACATTAACTAATTGAGAATGAATTGTATATGCATATAGATATTATATAAAAGGATGGAGAGATGTATTGAAATATTTTGAGAATTATGTGGAATGATGATTTAACATGCTTGGAATTTTAAAGGTCTAAAATTTGAGTGAGGATGAACTGTATAGCCATATAGGATATTACAAGAAGTGATGGAATATCGTATGAATTATGTGGGATGTGTCTTGGTTATAGATACCACATATCTAATAATAGTTGACTAAGCTCGGCAGGACCCACCATGTACCAAGTCTTATAAAGTTCTTGAACTTAATAAATTATCATGCTTGCATGAGATTTGAGATGTAATAATTGTTTTTGGATGATATGGCATCTTTATATGTTGAGTTTTAGAATTTTGTGGGCCTTAACTATATAGAAAGATAGGATTACAATTCTAAGTATGGTTTCAGCCGAGTTTAGGCTGTGTTTAGTTCATGCCAAAATTGAAAGTTTGGTTGAAATTGGAATGATGTGACGGAAAAGTTGGAAGTTTATGTGTGTAGAAAAGTTTTGATGTGATGGAAAAGTTGCAAGTTTGAAGAAACAGTTTGGAACGGCCACACTTCCAAACTTCCAACTTCTAACTTTTCCATCACATCAAAAATTTCATACACACACAAACTTCTAACTTTTCCGTCACATCGTTCTAATTTCAACCAAACTTCCAATTTTAGCGTGAACTAAACACACTCATACTATTTCTCATTTCCCTCATGAAGTGGAGTAATAGGGATTGAGATCCTCTAACTTGAGTCACATGACTTTGAGTCACTGACATGTGGACCCTCTTTGTTATGAACTTACATATCATTGACTCTAAAACCACAAGACTTAGGCTGTGTGTTAGTTCGTGTGCCAATTTTTTTTTAATTATACGGACACGCATTTGAAGTATTAAATGTAGACTAATAATAAGACAAATTACTTATTCCGCCGGTAAACTGTGAGACAAATTTATTAAGTCTAATTAATCTATCATTAGCAAATGTTTATTGTAGCATCATATTGTTAAATCATAGCGTAATTAGGTTTAAAAAGTTTGTCTCACAATTTACATGTAAACGGTGTAATTGGTTTTTTTCATCCATATTTAATCTCTATGTAATATTTGTAATATTTGATCTAACAGAAACTACTGTCTTAAGATAGAAGGATCTCAATCAGAAGTAGAGTATCATATCATATGGCCTCCCTCCCCAACTCAACCCCACCACCGGCAGGCGGCAGCCCTCTCGACTCCACATTGACTGACAACACGCAGTTGAGTCTATCTACCCGCGTCGCGTGCAAAAAAATCCAGCGCACCACCGCCCATTCTCATGGGGGGACCCACCACCCCGACTGCCCCCACCAGTCAGTGGAGACAGAGAGAGAAGGGCAGAACAGAAGGCCTGCGCCGCGAAGCCTCGAGAGGAAAAGGCGGCGGCGCCACCGGTGGCTCGCGACCCGCGGCGAGGCACCGTCGCCCGAAGCCCCCCCCCCCCCCCCTGTCTTCGCCTGCTCCGTCGCGCCGAGGTGCGAGTTGTTCACTGGTTCTGGGGCTCGCTTGGGTTCTGGTGATTCACCCCCCCACCCCGAACCCAAGGGCGTGTCAGCTAGGGAGGAGGAGGAGGATCCGGTGGTTTCGACCATGTTATTGACACTGTTTAGTTTACATGTCATGTATTCGAGCTTTCAGCTATGTATGGTGTATGATTTGATTTACCTGTGCTTCTGCTAGCTCTGTTCCAGTAGGCTTAATTGCATTCTCAAGTTTCAGATTTTTTTTAGTAGCAAATAATGTTGCTAAGATTCACCGTGCGTCCTCATTGTCCCGATGTTTACTTCCTTACAACAGTTCGCCTTTGAAATCAATCGAGGGTCTAAAAGAGCCAACAAAATTATTCCCCCCCCCCCCAAAAAAAAAAAAAGAGGCAACAAAACAATGCTGCATTACTGCAGGAAAACCATTTGCTTGATGAGCTCCCGACTGAGGCTAATTGTCTGTTTCCTTTCCGTGTTTTGCAGGGTTTCTCTAGCAAAAGAAATCTGGTTCCTGCAAATACACCATCTGCCAAGGGGAGAGTACCACAACAGTTGGAGTTCACACATTGTTCACCTGGTATTGTTGCCTGACTCTTGGGACTTGACATTGTGCCTCAGCCCAATAAAGCTCTTGACCAATGCCAAAGTGACATTCTGTGCAACATGCAGCGGCACTTATCTAGAAGTGATCAAGTCTATGATGCTTCATCTGAGGATCAACCATGTAGCAGCAGTGCTGACCATCTCCCAGGACTAAGGATGTTTTCGAGGTCACGGAGATGGAAAATAATGATATGTGCATGGGGTTGCAGTCAGGGAACGAGTAGGCTTTTCCCAGGAGTGACAAGGATGATTTGTAATTTGTGAGGCATAAGTTCTTGGATCCACATGCAAAGCGTCTTTCCGCAGATGAAGCCCATAGGAATTCTAAGGAGTTTAGTGAGGCACTTGAGTTACTGTACTCCAAAAAGGATGTTTTCCCTAAAATCCTTCAGGAGAACAGTGGTGCATTTCCAGGATTCTCAGGGCACATCCTTGGTCACAGTGGATTGCTGTACTCCAAATTGTTTGAGCAAGACAACTGCTCTAGCATGGGTGTTGAACATGACGGGTTGTTTAATGTACCAAAGGAGCCAGAGATGCAGCAAAAGTAACCACCCACAAGATTTCATCAGAAACAAACTACAATCATGATAATGTACAGAAGGCAGGTATTATGGTTGGAAGGCAGGGATTCACTGTAAAGAAGATTCAAGAGCTGTCTCATTGAGGAAATTTTCTAGGTCGTAGTTTCTCCAGACCTCAGATACCAACAGTGCAAAATTACAGGGAAGGAAACAATCTACACCAATTTGTAACCTGCCCATTCGGAAATATTTATTGAATGCACCCACTGAGGCACTAATGAATCTGGAAGTGACCATGTCAATAGTAGATCACCATTTTGAAAAACAAAGCAGAAAAAGGGGAGATCTATGAATCTATCATCCAAGCTGGCAAGAAAAACATGCTACCTGTGAACGAGATTCATGTAACTTCAGAAAAAGCAAGGCATAGTATCTTCATATCCGATTTGTCTCGAGCAAGCAACACACATAGTTCTGGTTCAACTGCTCTGGATGATGATTTACAAAGTTGTAAAGAAAAGATGGCATGGACAGAATAGAATCTAGCACCACCATAACTATTCGGTGGAAACTGAGGATGCAATCATGCATACTACCATATCTCAAGGCTCAGTTCTATATACTATAGACATGGGATAAAATGGAGTCAGAAAATCAGGACAGACACACAGATTGACACTATGTGCAGGGCAGAGCGTGACATACGAACGGACTACTGACGACGGCGGTGCCTGTACTGTATAACCAAGAACTCAAAAGCCAGTGTATCCTCCTCGGTCATGGGAGGAAATCTCATCCATGTGTATCGAGATGGAAGTTCCACTATCTCAAAGCGGACCTGGTGCCAACGTCTGCTATCCCCGTCCATCTCGTAGAAAAAGAGCTGGCAGAGCACGCTGCCTCTGTCGTGGATGACGTCCTGCACTCGGAAGAAGGCGTGGTATACCTCCGATCCGGTGCGCCTGGCGTAGAAGATCTGCCACCTCGGCAGCTGTGGAACGATGGCTCCCTCGACCACGCATTCCTCCTCAAGCGCAAGCTGAGGCAGTATGGGAACGGCGAACCCCCGCCTGTTCTGCCACTCTGGGCATCCGCATGGATTGACCTCCGCGCAGCCGACGCACAGCAGCCTGTGGCAGCACGTCATGACCCACTCCACGCGGTGGGTGGTGCCACAGCCGGAGCAACAAGGAGGCGGTGGTGGCTGGTCCCACCTGCTCTGGCGCTGATGCTGGCCGCTGCTGCTGCCCTCCGATGATCGGGATCGGGAATGGGAGCTGGACGAGCTGCTGCGTATGACGCCAGAGATGGGTCTGGAGACGTGCTCGTGCTGCAGAAATTAAACTGTATTAGTGAATTCCAGTTTTGTATTAAGAAACCATCGTTTTTGACTTCTCTCCAACATAGCGTTGTATAGCATATAGTGCTGGAGCTAATAAGTTGTTCTTTTTTTTTACACTTGGGTATACGCATTGCAAACTACTACTGCTAATAAGTTGTTCCATTTTTTCTTTTTTACACTTGGGCATTCGCATTGCAAACTACTACTCATGATTGAAAGCACTTGTTAAAGAACTGGAGTTCCTAAGAACTATGAAACTGCTTGTCTCCTTAACAAAATTTTAGATTCTTGCATGAACGATTGGCTGCCCAGACTGCTTGGCAAGAAAAAAGAGATTTCTTACCGAGGCCGTCGCTGTGGCTCTGCCGCCGGTGTGGACGGTGGTACGCCAAGAGCCTGTGTCCCCGTCCAGCCCCGACTCCACCATGACGCGCCACGTACGGGCCAATCCGTCCTCTCCGCCGTCGTCCGTGGTGTCGACGGCGATGTGCAAAGAGTCAGCCAAGTCTTCCCGGGAACGTGTCCCAACGACGTAGACGCGCACGCCGGAGGCCTCGTCGGGGGAGGTGCGGACGAACACGCGCCAGCGACCCCCTCTCCTCGTGCTGTGGACGAGGTAGGGCCCGTCTGGCAAGGGGAGAACGCCGGCGGCGTTGGGGTCTATGAAGAGGGCAACGCGCCAGGATATCTCCCGTGCGCCGCCGGCCGGATCAGACCCAGCACCACCGATGTCGCTGCTGACGGCGAAGACGTCTCCCTCGGGACCGACCATGGCGAAGCCGTCAGGGCGCGTGGCGTCGAGCACAACCGCGCACGCACCTGCCAGGAGCGCCGGGCACCGCGCCTGGCGTGCGTCCCCAAACATGAACCACCTGTCCGAGACGGGCGATCCCTGAAAGAAGAGGAGATGCCAAGAAATCAAGAACTGGAAGTAGAAATCAAGAACCGGGAAGAAGATGCCAAGAAAGAAAAGGAGCCCAAGAAATCAAGAAATGAGAGGAGGAGGAGGAGGAAGAAGAAGAAGCCAAGAATAACGGAAATACAAAAAGAGAACCGCCGGCATCCAGGAGGTGGGTGGAGGTAGGCGGCGCAATGGCGTCGGCGTCGGAGAGGCCATGCCAGGTGGTCGGAGAGGACGAATCATCGTGGGCGCCACCGGAGCCTGATCCGGCGCGGGGGGAGGTGAGGGAGAGCGGAGACATGGTCGTAGATCCTGAGTAAACCTCGTCGTCGTCTCCGTCGGCTGCGTGGGGGAAGCTCGGCTCCGCGTCCATGGCGGCAGGGCAGAGCGTGGGTGCGCCTGGGTGGGGGAAGGAGGAGGAGGAGGAGGCCGTGGGAGAGGCGCGAGGAGACAACGTTTGATTCCTTGGGCTTATTGCCTCTCTTCTTTTATACGGATTATTGGGCCTGATCGAGTAAAGGCCCACTGTTCCGGCCCAAATGGTCGGCCCGCGAGTTCTTCTCCTCCATTTCTTCTCTCTTCGTCTTCGTCGGTCAGTTATCTTTTCCCCACTCCGCCGCCGCCGCCGCCGCCGGTCGATCGGTCGGCGGCGATGGTCGAGCTCGATGCCTCCTGCTGATGGTGCCAAAGAGCCCCCACTCCATCGTATTAGGACTAGGAGAGCCAGCCGATTTGATATTTGGGAGCAGGCAGAGGCAGGCATTTCTTCAACCAGGAATGGATCCCTAGCGGCTTAGCAATTTGCCTGCAGTGAGTTGGAGGGAGTTCAAGCTGGTTGTGTGAGTGTGAAGCTTCTCTTTTCTTTTGCGGAGTAGCAAGCAACGGCGGGAGTTGGAGGGAGATCTCCCGTCGCGGTCCCATGTACGTTACGTGTATGGATCATTGATTCTTATATGAAGGAAGCTGCGCCAACTTGACCTGAACCTGAATCTGGAGAAGAACAGGAAATGTGAATCTCAAGCTGGAGAAGAAAGGCAAAAAAATAAATGTAAGTCTTTTTGTTCTTTCTTTTCTTCTTTGGGAGATGCATACTTCTTGTTTTCTGGGAAACAGGCATCCGACTTGAAATCCACAAAGGGTTTTCTTTCTTTCTTTTAACAATTCGCTGAAGTGTAGAGTTCCCCACCTGTATATGTATTCATATCATCGCAACGAGTTCAGGGTAGTACAGGGAGTTTTACAGTTCAGTTAGATTGTTGAGGGGGAAGAAAACATATTTTTACAAACTGAAATCACCATTCTGTCCTTTCTAGGTAGTCGATCAGCCCATAGGCCTGCCTCATCAACGCAGCTCGTTGGTGCATTTCCAACGGAAGGACTGATTCCTGAAGACCACGTCGTGGCAATGGTTCCATTGGACCCAGAAGCAGAGGAGGTAGAACATCTGGAGGTGAGGTACCGGCAGTCGTGGTATGCTATTATATGTCATAATATAGTTGAAATTTTATATGTGCCCTAATATCTGAGCTAGTAATTGTGGTATGCTATTTTTTTTTACTATACCTTGCAAGGTTGTGTGTGTGTGCATAGCCGTCAGATTGTCAAATTTTATAGTATATGTTTATGGCCATTGCTAGCTCGTTTTGTTTGGAATGTGGTGAAATGTGCCTTTATTAATCTGAAAGCAATTTACAGTGTTTGACCATTTGTTTGGGGGCTTGGGGAGATTTGATAAAGAGACAAAGGATGGTGATGGTGGGAATTGTGACTGTCATCTGGGCTATTTGGAAGGCCAGAAATAAAGCCTGTTTTCAGAATGAGTTGCCAAAATATCCAGCTGAAGTGATACATTTTGTTTGTTCTTTGCTTATGTCTTGGGGGTGTGTTGCAGAAGTCGGAAGAAATACAAAGAAGAACTCTGTTGGGAACGCAACTGCTGAAACGGGTGGTCGGTGAAGTATACAACTCGAAGTATGGACAGCGACATGATAGGAGCGGGCTGGAGGACTGACTGATGGGGTTGAAGCTGACAAATGAAGTTCAAGAGGATCGAAAATGTGAGAAAACGTGGAGAAAAGGTTCATGCTGAAGTTCTTTTGAGACTCCTGGGAGCTGGGACCATGTGTTGAGTCCCCTGAGTAATGTTGATCGATAGTTTGTAGTGGTAGTTGCTGCAGGGGGAGGCTTGGAGCTGACCAAGTGGGTTGGCGCTAGATCTCATCTCACCCTTCCCTGCTGTGTTGGCGTTGTTTTCTTTCTCTGTTGAACCTGTAGTGCTAAACCTGACGTTTCTCATCATGGAAATGAGAGAGGGCTTTGGCCTATCTTTGATTTTTTTTAAAAAAAAGAAAATATAAGAAATGCTTTTGACAAGCGCCCAATTCCAAAAAATGACATCGACAAGTGCGAGTTCTATAAAATATCATCATACAAGTGATTTTATCCTAGAAATGCCATTGCTGTTACGGTTCCGTCTATCCCGCGCTGTTAAATACACTGTTCATCCTATAGCACTTAACAGAGGGTTGCTAATAGAACCCTAACGGTGATGGTATTTTTGGGACAAAGTTGCTTGTACGATGACATTTCATAGAACTCACATTATTGGGACAAAGTTGCTTGTACGATGACATTTTATGGAACTCACACTTAACAATGACATATCTTGGAACTCACATTCCGACTGCGGCCGAGGCAAGAGGAGCAAGAAGGGAAAAATATAGAGGGAGGAGGTGGGGGAGACGGGGACCATGAGCTGCTCCTCAGGTAAAGGGTGTGGAGGCGCGCGTTCCCCTCGTGGGGGTCGCGCCTCCCTCCATGGGCATGCCTTGCGGACGGGCGACGGACGGCGTGAGCCAGGGGCACACCCAGGGACACCCAGGCAATTTTACCCCTCTAAATTTTATAATACAAACCTAAAATCTATTTAAATGGGAAACCAAATCGATTCATACCGTTGGATCATTTATACTAGCAGTATATGCTATCATTATATCGTACCATAAAAATTCTTAATCATAACCACACACAACTAATTTAAAAACTTGATGGAAATGTCATGGTTCCAACTTTATACGTATTCGGATGACATAAATACAAATAGACAAAAATAGGAATGGCATTTTTATAAAATGACACCTTTATAATAGTGGTATTCATCCAATTAACCCTACTCTATTCAATTTTGCTATATATTTGTCGACAAATTTTCCCCTAAAAATTTGACATATGTAATTACAGTACAATCGTAGTGTAATTACACTGTAACTTGCATATAATTACACTGTAACTATAATGTAACTTGTATGTAACTTTCAAAAATCTCTCCATAACATGTTATTTCGGTAAAATAGAGGTTGTGGGAACAAATTCTTTCACATATGTGTGTGTTGTGATTTTTTTTCTTCCTCACCAAAACAAATCTTATAATAGATCTAACGATTCAAAATTACGTGAAACTTACGTACAAGTTACACTATAGTTAAATGTAAGTTACAGTGTAATTACATACAAGTTACAGTGTAATTACACTACGATTGTATTATAATTACATTTATCAATTTTTAGGAGAAAATTTGTCAACAAATGTATAGGTGGTCCCACTCTATTAGGAATAAGTTCATCTATTATTCGTAGGCCTTCTACTTGTTCCTGGGCCCTGGGGTGCTCGGGCCGCGGGAGGCAGAGAGAGATGGGCCGCATGGGCTTTCACACGGCCCCCGCCGTCCCGAAACGTTCCGCATCTGACGCCGCCGCCAGGCCCGCCACCCAAGTCGTCGTCGTCGCATCCAAAGCAACGCAATGGCCGATCTGTATGAGGACAATTCCGAATCCTACAAGGTCGCCGCTTTCATTGTCAGCTTAATTAGATTAACCCCGCGCGATCTCTCTCTCTCTCTCTCTATACATATATGCATTATCTGCTTGATGATGGTGCACGTGTGACACGCATTAATCAAAAACTAATCACACATGGCGTCTAACGACTCTTCTCCGCCAGACGCCAAGAGGCTACGCCGCTCGCCACCGAGCCCGAGCTCGAGCTCTCCCGACCACCTCCTCGTCGACGAGATCCTCACGCGCCTCCCCATCGCCGCCGCCGTCCGACTCCGCGCCGTCTCCCGCGACTGGAACGCCGCCCTCACCTCCGACTACTTCATCCTCGCCCACCGCGCCAGGGCCGCCGCCGCGCGCCGCCACCCGGAGCTTCTCTTCTTCGCGCCGCCGGAACCCCGCAGAACCAGCAGCACCACCACCTTCTACGCCTGCTCGCTCCGCGGCGGCGAGGCGCCGGCCGCCGCCCGCGAGCTCCTCACCATCGACTGCTTCAGCGCCAAGCACGCCGTCACGTCGCCCAGGCCGTGCAGGGGCCTCACCCTCGTCTCCGACGGCCGCGAGCCGCGGTATCACCTCCTCAACCTGTCCACCGGCGATCACGTCACGCTGCCGCCGTGCCAGCCGGCCGCGGAGCTACACTCGGAACCAATAGCCAGGGTATTACCCGGCGGCATCACGAGTTATCTCCCGTCGATGTCGCCATGGGACCCCTTCGAGCTCTCGACCACCGGGCTTGGCTTCGACGCGGCGACCGGCGAGCACAAGGTGGTCAGGCTCTTCAAGAAACGCAACGGGGAGCACGTCTGCTAGGTGTATACCCTGGGAAAGCCCGGCGGGTGGCGCCCCTGCACCGGCCGAGTGCCGGCGTCCGCGGCCAACTTCCTCCCCGGCTTGCCACCGGTGTTCGTCAACGGCTACCTCTACTGGCTGCTCCAGCCAGCCGCCCCCGGCGACTGGCAGATCCGGCGGATCCTGTCGTTCTCCGTCGGCGCCGAGCAGTTCGGGTCGGTGTACATGCCGCCGCGGCTGTCGTCCCGCATGCGCCACCTCACCAACCTCGACGGCTCGCTTTGCGCCGTGTTCGACAACCGCGTCGAAGGTTGAGTTGGGGAAAGATAGCAATGAGGGGGAAAGTCCACTTTATGTATCTTTAGTTATTATATGCTTTCAGTTTTATTCACTCCCGCAACACATAAAATCATAATAACTAAAACCCCACCACCGGGGGTGAGGATATCTACCATAATGTCACGTTCTACCATAAAATTGAAATCGGGTATAAAGTGTTACTCCCTCCCTCAATTTTCTTTAAATTTGATCAAATTTATAGGAAAACATAATACTATTTTCAGTACAAAACAAACACATTATCAAAATATATTTAATAGTAAATTTAATAAAATTGATTTGATATTCTAGATATTGCTAATTTTTTTTATAAATTTGGTTAAACTGAACAAATTTTGACTAGAGAAAGTTAAAGTCAAACGACTTATAATATGAAATGGATGTGGTATTTGATTTTCAAAAACCATGTTCATGTGCGGCGGAAGCAGGCAGCTATCCTCTTTAAATCCTTCAAAAGGACGTTGAATTGACGATTGCTAGCGTCGTGGTACTCGACGGCCACCTCTTGCTTCACCACCATGTTGTCGCGGCGTCCCATGTTCACACGCAGCATCCTCTCGCCGCCGCCGTCGCCATTGTGAACGTCGGCGATGCATTCGTCGTGGAGACCAATGTTGATCAGCAGGGGGGCCTTGATGTAGTCATGCCGTAGATCGACGAACTCCTGCATGCGGAACACGCGCTCCACGGTGTTCCGCTCGGCGTCGTAGGCGAACACCTTGTGGTGCCCCGTGGCGAGCAGGATCTTGCCTCCGGCGGTGCAGAGCGGCACGATCACGCGCTCCTCCATCAGCTCGTCGCTCACCTCTCGCGGCAGCCTATTCAGGTAGATGGAGCAACGCACCGACCACGACGGCGACGGCGACGCCGAGGGCTCGCTGCACGTGAACAGCCCGTAGACGTCGCCTTCGACGCGGTTGTCGAACACGGCGCACAGCGAGCCGTCGAGGTTGGCGAGGTGGCACATTCGGGAGGACAGCCGCGGCGGCACGTACACCGACCCGAACTGCTCGGCGCCGATGGAGAACGACAGGATTCGCCGGATCTGCTCGTCGCCGGGGGCGGCTGGCTGGAGCAGCCAGTAGAGGTAGCCGTTGACGAACACCGGCGGCATGGCTGGGAGGATGCTGGCCGCGGACGCCGGCACTCGCCCGGCGCAGGGGCGCCACCCGCCGGGCTTTCCCAGGGTGTACACCTCGCAGGCGTGCTCGCCGTTGAGTCTCTTGAAGAGCCTGACCACCTTGTGCTCGCCGGTCGCCGTGAAGCCGAGCCCGGTGGTCGAGAGCTCGAAGGGGCGCCATGGCGTCATCGACGGGAGATAATTCGTGGTGCCACGGGGTAACCATGCTAGCGGATCGGGGTGCGCCTTCGCGGCCGGCTGGCACGGCGGCAGCGCGAGGTGATCGCCGGTGGAGAGGTTGAGGAGGTGATACCGCGGCGCGCGGCCGACGGAGACGAGGGTGAGGCACCTGCACGGCGTGGGCGACGTGACGGCGTGCTTGGCGCTGAAGTAGTCGATGGTGAGGAGCTCGCGTGCGGCGGCCGGCGCCTCGCCGCCGCGGAGCGAGCAGGCGTAGAAGGTGGTGGTGTTGCGGTGGTCCGGCGGCGAAGAAGAGCAGCTCCGGGTGGCGGCGCGCGGCGGCGGCGGCCCTGGCGCGGTGGGCGAGGATGAAGTGGTCGGAGGTGAGGGCGGCGTTCCAGTCGCGGGAGACGGCGCGGAGGCGGACGGCGGCGGCGATGGGGAGGCGCGTGAGGATCTCGTCGACGAGGAGGTGGTCGGGAGAGGTGGAGGTCGGCGGCGAGCGGCGTAGCCTCTTGGCGTCTGGAGGAGAAGAGTCGTCGGACGCCATGTGTGATTAGTTTTTGATTAATGCATACACACGTGCACCATCATCAACCAGATAATGCATAAAGAGAGAGAGATAGCGCGGGATTAATCGAATCGGACAATGAAAGCGGCGACCTTGTAGGATTTGGAATTGTCCTCCTGCAGATCGGCCATGGCGTTGCGGAGGCGGCGGCGGCGTGAGATGCGGAACGCTTCGGAGCCGACGGGGGCCGTGCAAAAGCCCATGCGGCCCGCCTCTCTCTGCCTCACGCGGCCCGAGCACCCAGGGGCCAGGGCCTAGGAACAAATAGAAGGCCTACGGATATCAGATAGGGTTAATTGCAGTGGTATAGATCTAATTAACCCTTAATTCTACGTTATAAAGGTGTTGTTTTAAAAAATGCCATTACTATTTCTGTCTAATTGTATCCAAATACGTATAAAATTGAAACCATGCTATTGTCGTCAAGTTTTGAATTTGGTTTCCTATGGTTATGATTGAGAACTTTTATAGTATGACATATTAGTATAGCATATATTCACGGTATAAATGATCTAACGGTATGCATCGGTTTAATTTTCCATTTAAATAGATCATAAGACTATTGGTGGTATAAAATTTAAAGGGGTAAAATTGTCTTACTTTGTTATTTTACAGGTCATTTTTGTCAAAGAAAATAAAGCAATGAATCAGATAAAAAAATCGATACGATCATCGGGGTTGTATGAATTGTTAACCTAGCTAGAAAGATTCAGAATGTGTAAGACCTTTCACATACATCTACTATGGTACAACTTTACATATTTAGAGTTTAATCATGCTGTTCTCTTGCGTAAGTGACACAGATTCTGCGTATCAATGGCGTTAGATATTTTCTTTGCGGGGAAGGGAGGTGTCAATGGCGAGGCACCGCATCCCATCGTGCTCACAGAACCGGACAAGAGAGAAGCAACTACAATGCCATGCTACTCCATAATTGTGATCGGTGGACGGTGGTGCTGGTACTCCCTGATCTCATTGTGTCGGCGTCAGGATGTGCCCTGCAGGTCCATCAACAACCACAAAACATCACAACGTGCCACAAAACGCACACCTCCGGTCCTAACTATGGTCCTGACCATGGATGATATTATGGGTCTGTTTGGTTTGCTACCAACTTATTGTCCTACCAATTTCTTAGCTAATTCAATAGTAGCAAATACATGTTTGGTTTGCTATCAATTTTTTGTCACAATAGTTTAAATTCAATACTACCTAATTTGGTAGTGCCAAAACTTGCCAAGATTTTGGCACTACCAAGATTTTGGTAGGGCAAAAATTGGATTCAAACCAAACAAGCCCTACCTCTTTTGTTTTTTTTTGGTTTTTTAAGTGGGAGGAGTATTAGATGCAACACGTGTTTTGTGTTTGATGGTGACCCTCTCCCCCTCCTCTCATCGGATGATTAGCCCTGTTTCACTTTCACCGTCTACATTCTCTCCTTTACACTACTTCTACTTTCTTCATCTTAAAATATAAGAAGTTTAGCTGAAATAAGATACATCCCAGTACTACGAGACATCAGAAAGTGTCTTATCCAACCAAAACTTCTTATATTTTGGGACGGAGGGAATAGCGCTAAAGCTCACCGTAGATTTTGCTGCCAAAACATTGATCATAGCAGATAGGATTGCAGGTGGGCAACACTTCCTATATAAAAACAGCTTGCTAGTTCATTTTATATATGATGGTATAAATTTATAAGGAAAAAAAAGAAATATAAGCGAGATAAGTGGGAAAAAACCCATTTGTCTGCCCCTTTGAGTATCTAATCGTACATTGTTTACATGCTCTCTAAGTTTCTCAACGGTGCGTTTCACATTTCAGGAAAAGAAAGTTATATAAAGTTTTCTTAGGTACTATTTTAGAGCAAACTTTCAACTTTTTAATAATTCCATATTATTCATCAAGTTTACACTTTTAGACAACTATAAGAGAAATCAGATTACTCGTCAATCCACCGATTACAGCTATCTCAAACGGAGCCATAATCACACTTCAATAGTAGTACTACCACAATTGCATGTAACAAAAAAAAAACTCGTCAATGGAATGGATACTATTCAATTTTTTTTCATAGGAAGGGTATGTTTAGATCGCGAAATGAAAATTTTTTGATGTCACATCGGACGTTTGACCGGATATCGGAAGGGATTTTCGGACACAAATGAAAAAACTAATTTCATAAGTCGCTTGGAAACCGCGAGACGAATCTTTTGAGCCTAATTAATCCGCTATTAGTACATGTGGGTTGCTGTAGCACTTATGGCTAATCATAGACTAATTAGGCTCAAAAGTTTCGTCTCGCGATTTCTTCCTTAACTGTGCAATTAGTTTTTACTTTAATATACATTTAATACTCCATACATATATATAAAGATTTGATGTTTTACGGAAAAAAAATTTGGGAACGGGCCTAAATTGTTTGTGAAAAAAAAAAGCAACTCGAATCTTGCGATGCTTCATGCTTTCCTCCTTTCGAAACAGAAAAGGACTAGGCGCAACCACCTCACTCATTTTGTCTTGGCCCATGGGCCGCCACGTCCGCATGACAATCACGCTACCCTCCCCGTCCCGAATACCGAAGCCTCCAGAACACGGGGGGACCGCCTCCTGGGCCCCACATGTCATTCTCACACCCTCCGTCTCCGGCGAGCTCCCCCTCCCTATAAATCCCGCCTCCCCCATTTCTCCGGTCATCTCGCCGCCAATAGCTCGCCGCCGTCGAAACCCAAAATCTTCTCTTCCCGTACGTGAGAAGCGCCAGGTCGTCGTCGCCGCCATGGGCGTGGAGGTGTGCGTCAAGGCCGCCGTCGGCCACCCGGACACGCTCGGCGACTGTGAGTGCCAACCCCCACCTCGCCGGATCCGCCTCCCCCGGCGTCCCCATTTCGAAACCCTAATTTTGGTTCTTCCCCTCCTCCTGTGTGGCGTGGGTGGCTGGCAGGTCCATTCTCGCAGAGGGTGCTGCTGACTCTGGAGGAGAAGAAGGTGCCCTACGAGATGAAGCTCATCGACGTCCAGAACAAGCCCGACTGGTCCGTCCCCTCTCCTTCCCCCCACACTCTGAATTGAATTTCGCTTTCCTTTCCTGTGAGATGTGGACTGAACTTGTCGTAGGCGTTAACTTTGGGGGCTCTTTTTTCTCTACTGTTTTGACTTAATTGTCAGATGTTTAGTGCTGCTAGTGGAGTAGAAACAGTGCCACAGTGAGGAACGAGGGGTTTTTGTCTGTCTGTATCACCATGAGTTATAATTGTTTGGATCCCTGAATTATGATTGTTTGATGAACTACTGGTTACACACTTTCTTTGCTGTCTCTGATTTACAATTTGCTGAATTGTGATCCTGCTTCAGATTGTAAGTTGCGCTGAAAGTTGAAAAACAATCTTTTCTTATTACTAGTCTTGAACATGCCTTATATTAGGAAGTACACGAAGCAATTAATATTTTCTCTCTGTAAATTAATCACCGGAACTAAGATTGTAAGTTGTAACGTAAATTTGTTTAGATTGATGATATTGCGGTCATAATGTCTTGTATCAGTTAATAGCCCTTTATTTTGCTAGTTTTTCATACCGTCTTGAGTTATGTAGATGTGCTTTTGTTGGGATCTCTATGTGCATCAAGAAATGCATGTATGCCTTAAGTTCTAGTCCTTCGATGGGTCTGATGTTTGGTCAATATCTAGATTTGGGCGGTTTATCCAAACCCAAGTGGGGTAAACTGAAGATCTTATAGTGCTCACTATGGAGAGCAACCAAAATCAACAGTCTTAATCCTCAGCAAGATATAGAATATGAGCAGAGGCCAGAGCAAAAGGATGCCTCTAACTTAGAAATGTCCATCAGCTACTTAACTGTAAAGAGTAATTTGGTGTTTCTTTGTTTTACTCTTTACATGATGATTCAGTAAAATTATTCTTTCATTTCTCTTCCACTTTATCTGTAAAAGAAAACGAAAACGCTAATACTTTTCAAGTTATGTACCTTTCTAGTGTAAATTCTGGTGTTTTTTGTTACCTGTTAGTGCTTTAGAGAAGATGCACCTTTTTGGAGGAAGAGTGAAGAGATGAACTAATGGATGTTCGCATGTTTTCATCTGGAAGTAGTTAATTATACTATTTCCCTGACTTTAGTTCTATTAATATTTAATGAAGTACTGAAATGGTATTTGAGGGGATCCAAGGGTTTAATGTAGTCTCTTTGAACTTGGAGCTTCCCACTGCTTGCAAGCTACTTAAACTAACGAACTGTGGTAACTCTTTCAGGTTTCTGAAGATCAGCCCAGAGGGGAAGGTGCCTGTGTTTAACGGTGGTGATGGCAAATGGATTCCTGATTCTGATGTGATCACTCAAGTCATTGAGGAGAAGTACCCAACCCCGTCTCTTGTCACCCCTCCTGAGTATGCATCAGTGTAAGTCTCCTCCCCACCCCCAATCCCCATCCACAATTTATAGTTGAGTTCTCTAGAATAAAACATCAGACATCCTTCCTATATCCTTGTCTTGAAAGCTTTATTCATAAGCAGAGGCTTCATTAGTACCTTCTGCCTATATATTTGTTGGTTCATAATTAATATTGCTAGTCAATAATTCTTCACAGCATGTCAGGTCTGGTAAATGTCCTCCTATAATAAGTTAGCATTTTCAAGAGGCATCTAAGGAAAACTTCATGTACTTGATCTTTATTTCCTCAATGACATCCTAGCGACAACTTGCAAGGTTGTCATCTCTTTGACAAAGTGTATTCTGCAGGATTATTGGCATGATCTTTGAGTTCAACAATAATACACACCAACCTTCATTCCATAAAGATAAATTTTAACATTGCCTCTTTTCAAAAGGAAAAAGATTTGACGTTACTTACTATTTATCTGTTATGGTCCTTCTGTGTTTGAGGCTTCAATTTTTCTGTGACTTGTAATAACAGGGGATCAAAAATTTTCTCATGCTTCACAACGTTCTTGAAGAGCAAGGATCCAAATGATGGTTCAGAGAAGGCACTTCTTACTGAACTGCAGGCACTCGAGGAGCATCTGAAAGCTCATGTAAGTGAAAGTGTTTATAGGCAGTTGATTTGGCTGTTGCTTTCTGCTACAGGATACGAATAACACGTGCTTCCTTGTTCATTTCGATGCATCCAAATTTCACTGTCTGTACACTTGTCCTGTCTGGACATGTCACACTGCAATCCACTCGGATGCATCCAATTTCCACTGTAATAGCACTTGATCTGTCTGCATATGTACATGCTGCAATTATTAGGCATCGCCTAAGTGCATTCTAGGTCATGACCTCAATACCTCATGGGTCTTAATTCAGTTTGACTATGATACTTTGGTTGAAAAGCAAACTTTCTTTACATCATGGTCAAACCTTTTGGCGTTTGCAGGGCCCCTTTATCAACGGGCAGAACATTTCAGCTGCTGACCTTAGCCTGGCACCAAAGCTCTACCATCTCCAGGTTGCTCTGGAGCATTTCAAAGGCTGGAAGATCCCGGAAGACCTAACCAATGTTCATGCTTACACAGAGGTACAACACTAATGCCCAAGTGGAGACAGATTGGTCTTATTATTTCTAAAACACATTCAGAATCAAATCATTGGGTTCTGTATTGTTGTTGTGCAGGCTCTGTTTAGCCGCGAATCTTTCATCAAGACGAAGGCAGCTAAGGAGCACCTGATTGCTGGATGGGCACCAAAAGTGAATGCGTAAGAGCCTGCCCTTATGCTCTGGTGCTGCTTGGACACCATGCTGTTTATCTGATCGGTCCATGTCAGTGGTGGGCACTACTACTACTCTTGTGTAGCTTGGGTGCATGATTGGGTTGGAATAATGTAGCCTCATCCGTTGAGTACCTTGATATGGTTGTTGCAAGTGTGCACTTTTTCTATGAACTATCTCCTGCTGGCTTAAGTCGAAACCGTGGGTCGGTTTGGCCTTATGTTCAACTAAGAGAGTGCATATACTGTAATGGAACCTTTGCTAGTACAATATGTTATATGAATAATGGAGATGCAGCCTGCAGCTGCTCTTGCTTGGAGCTTATGATCAGTATATTCAGCAATGTAGTATGTATCACTGTATAGTGTTTTTCACCTCTAGTTCAAGCCTGCAAACATTAGATTTGCTGGTGAAGTTGTTATGCAATAATGCAAAGTGGAGCAGTATAACTGACACCATGTTTCATCAGGCGAATTTGGTCTCAGATGTGAGGGAGGAATGGTGGTAGGCAATGATATGTTCATGTCAGCTTATGTGAGCAAAGGCATTTTCTAGTGCGAGTTGTGTGCTTGGCAACAACAGAAAAATGATGGGGGGTAAAGAAAGGAGAGAATCAATGTGGACCTTGGGAACCAATTCGAAAAATCTCCAATCTAATCATGGATTCCTCCTAACCAATCTCCATCAGCGATGAGGCTCCGAGTCGTCTGATGGCCACGTTTATCGGTTTGTCTCGTTCATGCGCATGCATTATCTTTTACTCGCCAGGTGCAAAAGATGAAGCTGATTTTTTCATCCGAAGAATTAGGAGTGATTTTACCTAATCTACCTGATCTCCTACTGTCTTGTGTGACACAAGTAGTAACAGAAAAGAAGTCTTTTTTTTTTAGTCTATCCCCTACAGATTTGCAGTCCCGAATCGTATGTTGGACACGCCAACACACACCATGATCATGCCATGCTTTTCCTTCCCTGTCCTGCAAGATTCGGCACGCAGAAAACGTTCGATCGCGGCAGAACATATCTAGTTTTCTACTAATACAAAAACTTCATATTCCTACCCCATTTACTCCACAGTTTTATCTTATCTATAACGAGAGATACACTCAAAATTCAAAAAGAATTTGAATCCAAAACTTAAAACAGCCAAACATATCCACTGGTATCCATCCACCTGCCCCACGGTTTCATCGGCCGAGCTAAAATCCAAATCGAACTCAGGTCGCCCACTGACATGCGGGCCCCACTAAGGTGACGGAGAGATCTCAACCAACCCCTCCCACGCGTCTGGCTCGTTCGGTTGCCGCCATTTCCGTGAGGGAAAGGGAGGAAAGCAGTTAAGCTCAGGATAAACCGCCTCCTAATTTGAGATAAATCCGTTAATCCGACTCATTAATCCACGGATAATCACTGCGGCATCGTAGGCCTTTTTTGAGCTATAAATAGAGCTCCTGATCCCCTCCTCCACTCCACACCAAAACCTCTCCAATCCCCAAATCCTCCTCATCTCCTCTTCCAGAACCTTTCTTTTTCGATTTCGTGTTCGAGTTCTTTGTGATTGCAGCGATGGCGTCCGTGGATCTGACCCCGAGGCAGGCGAGGAAGGCGTACGGCGGCGATGGTGGGACCTACTACGAGTGGAGCCCCGCAGACCTGCCCATGCTGGAACTCGCCAACATCGGCGGCGCCAAGCTGTCGCTCAACGCCGGTGGCCTCGCCCTGCCCAGCTTTTCCGACTCCGGAAAGGTTGCGTATGTTCTTCAAGGTATTCTTACATCGATCGCCCAAACCCTCTACCCCCATAGATGATCTTGCGGTTCTGATTGCGATTTGAGGGATCTAAAAAATTTTCGAAGATTGAAGTGGAATTGTGGTTATTTTGGGTAGTATTGTTTTGATCGTGGTTATAATCTGGCTACTGTGTGATGTAAAAAACTCAAATATTAGGGAAGGATCTCATATTAAATAATTAGAAGGGGTGAGGCTTTGAACCCAGGTCGTCTAGCGCATCATCTTGTGGAGCTAGCTGGAAGATCGCTGAGCATTTCTTAGCTACTGTGTGATGTGACCAATGCAGTTTTGTCGTTTTGGTTTAATCTGTTTAGGACATGATTACTGTATCAGATATTTACTTCGATTATAAAAAGTTTGTAATTTTAACTGATGTGATTTTACTGGAGTATTTCAATTTTTACAATTGCTGTGTTCAGAATTAACTGGAAATTTGTTTGCTGCAATGATTACCTACTGTCTTTGATGCCTCCTCCCATGTTGGGTTGTTTAATCTGATTATAATATGACTTGATTAGATCTCTACTTTGACTAAATAAAAATTGTTTTTTTTTACTGATCTGCTGTACCTAAGTAATATAAAAATTGCCCTTTTTTACTGATCTGTTGTACCTAACTAGTATTTTTACCTATGTCTTTGCTTATATTTTGAAATTGTTTGATGCATCTTCCCAGGTTGCTTGGTTCATCTGGTTACAGTATTTGATCATCTTGGTTTAGACTTCTACTTTGATTAAAAAATGTATTGTTTTTAACTGATATGTTGTGCTGTACTTAGTTGACTGATGTACTAGTAATTTTCTATTCCTACATTTGTTCTATTTGGAATTACTTGAAAATTAATTTATCCCCTGCAATAATGATGACTTTTTTCTATTTGGAATTACTTGAAAATTAATTTATCCCCTGCAATAATGATGATTTTGCTTAGTATATTTCAAGATGAATTTGACTGATGTATCACAGTATAGTAATTTTCTTTTCCTACATTTGTTCTGTTTGAAATAATTACTTGAAAAATTATTTATCTCCTTCACTAATGATGAATTTGCTTAGTATCTCTCAAGATGAATTTGACTAATGATGTTTCACTGTGTTTGACCCCTTCTCAGGCAAGGGCACTTGTGGCATTGTCCTGCCGGAGGCGAGCAAGGAGAAGGTGATCGCCGTGAAGGAGGGAGACTCCCTGGCACTCCCCTTTGGCGTGGTGACATGGTGGCATAACCTCCCGGAGTCCCCAATCGAGCTCGTCATCCTCTTCCTCGGCGACACATCGAAGGCGCACAAGGCCGGCCAATTCACAAACATGCAGCTCACCGGTGCCACCGGCATCTTCACCGGCTTCTCCACGGAGTTCGTCGGCCGCGCATGGGACCTCGCCGAGTCCGACGCCGTCAAGCTCGTGTCCAGCCAGCCTGCCTCCGGCATCGTCAAGATCAAGTCCGGCCAGAAGCTCCCCGAGCCGTCGGCCGCCGACCGCGAGGGCATGGCGCTCAACTGCCTGGAGGCGCCGCTCGACGTGGACATCAAGAACGGCGGCCGCGTGGTGGTGCTCAACACGGCGAACCTGCCGATGGTGAAGGAGGTCGGGCTCGGCGCCGACCTGGTGAGGATCGACGGCCACTCCATGTGCTCGCCGGGGTTCTCGTGCGACTCGGCGTACCAGGTCACCTACTTCATCCGCGGCAGCGGCCGCGTCCAGGTGGTCGGCGCCGACGGGAAGCGCGTGCTGGACACCCACGTCGAGGGCGGCAACCTGTTCATCGTGCCGCGCTTCTGCGTCGTCTCCAAGATCGCCGACGCCTCCGGCCTGCAGTGGTTCTCCATTATCACCACACCAAAGTAAGCAATCTCCAAATCCAATCAAAACTATTGATAGAATAATCAAAACCATTGATAGAATATTAGAATCAGCATTGCATTTGTGTAAATCCAATCAAAACCATGGATAGAATATTGGAATCAGCATTGCATTTGTGTAATTCCAATCAAAACACTGATAGAATATTAGAATCAGCATTGCATTTGTGTAAGTCCAATCGAAACCATGGATAGAATATTAGAATCAGCATTGCATTTGTGTATAATTGTGCTCATCGATTGATGAATTTGTGCAGCCCGATCTTCAGTCACCTGGCGGGGAAGACGTCGGTGTGGAAGGCGATCTCGCCGGAGGTGCTGGAGGCGTCGTTCAACGCGACGCCGGAGATGGAGAAGCTGTTCCGGTCCAAAAGGATCGACTCGGAGATCTTCTTCGCGCCCAACTGAGCAGCTTCCCTTTGCCATTGCGTCGTCGCGTCGGTGTCGTCTTAAATTAGGATTAAGTCATTAATAATTTCATCTCTTATCATGAGATGTTACTACCTTCTGTCAGTCTTATGCTATTGCGGTTGAACTGTGGTGATTCGCCACTTAAAATTCTATTCTATTCGAGAGTGCCTTCTGGTGCAAATTTGCTCTGCTTTGTTTCATCTGCAATTTGCTTTGCTTTGCTCTGTTTTTGTTTTGTTTTATCTGGAATGCTTGAATGCTTGAGGTGATTGATTCAGAGAAGAGGAGAACAGCTGCGCTGGCAAAACAATGGATGGAAACTGGATAAAGAGGACCTTATATTGGAATGAGATGCAACAACTAGTCTTCATCTCTCTTTGCTTTCTCTGTTTAATATTTTGCTCTCTCTGCTTAATGGGTTGATTTGCAGCTATCATTGTTGTGTTTATTTTTATTGATTTTCCTTCAGACTTCAGAATCGACAAGATTAGCACATACAATTTACCTTTTAGTACCACATACCTTAATTAATTCTTTAAAGTCAACTTCTCTTATGCTTTGTTACTCTTGTTTTCTATGTTAAATCTTTAGTCAGTGGAGAATATTTAGGAGACATGACAAGCTTTTTTTTTTATATAGTTTTGTTCTACCAAAAGTTTTGTTCCTATTTTGTTTGAAGTATTATTAAAAAATCAAATTAATCCATTTTTAAAAAAATTAGCTATTAATTACGTGCTAATGGACTGTTCCGTTTTTCGTGCGGAGGAGATGGGTTTTCCGTGCGACGTGTATCATGCTCATGGACGCATCTCTTGGGGCCTGTTCACTTTGATGCCATTTTTAACCTTACCAAATTTTGGTAAAGTTAAAAAAAATATGCCTACATTTAATTTGCTGCCAAATTTTGGTAAATTTGTTAAGGTTTTTTTTTGGCATCAAAGTGAACAGTCCCTTGATTTTCGTGCTCATGTAGCCAACACAACGCTCGTTTCTTGTGAAGTCAACCATCCAATTAGCAAGCAGATTAAGACAACTTTAAAATACTAATCCTACTCATCTTCTGCTGCAATATGGATATTGCTGGTGATAACGTGCAGCCATGGGGATTAAACAAAATGCAAGTGGAGTGCTCCACATGATATGATATTCGTTTGATGCTATCAATAGTCTTGTGGATTTTGTAATGATTTTACAAGAACTAAGCTGGGACAAGTGCAGCTCACCTACTGCTATGCTATCTCCAGCCTTCACTCCAAAGGATGCCTAACCTTATCACTAATTTGCTTCAAGCGTGAATATACTTGGGTTCCACTTTGCAGCAATACAAACTTTTTAAGCACATAGATGTACTATCAATGGCTAACCAATCCATCCATTCAAATGATCATAAAAAATTTTATCAAAATTCAACTTCTTTTTTACCAGGAACAGGCCAAAAATTACTGATCAGAAAAGGGAACACAAACTGCACTACAGAACAAGAAGAGCAGAAGAGCTGATCAACATTCGACTCGAATGGAAGCAAACAATTGAGGTAAAATCCATAACGTCGTCTCTGCCAGGTGGGTCCCACATGGGGGGCCTAGCTGCCACCTGCCAGCCTGCCCACCACGTGTGAGCCAGACTCTGCTTGGTTACACTCTTTTTTGGGCTTATGCCACTGGCAGTATCTGTATTTGCATTCCACTACATGACCACAAATTGAGTATAGTTGACACAATTTTACGATATTTGCGTTCTACTCCATGACTACATTTGACATAGTTTTTAGAAATTTGAACTCTACTTCATGACCATACTTGGCACAATTTTAAGGGCATGTTCACTTTAATGCCAAGAAAAATCTTACCAAATTTTGCTAAAATTTTGGCAGGATTTCTTATATAGTTACCAAATTTTGGCAACAAACTGAATGTAGCCATTTTTTTGGCAACTTTACCAAAATTTGGTAAGGTTGAAAATAGCATCAAAGTGAACATGCCCTAAGATATTGTTGCCCCCTAACAATTAGGAGTATCCATTATCATCCAACAGTCATTAATTTGGCACCGTTAAATCAGCTGCTATTCGTAGGATAGTTTAGAACAAGGCAAGTGTATTATGTTCTCGGTTTCTTAGTGATGATTTTTTTGAAGCTTCATCCAAATGAACATGGATGGATCAAATAGGCAATACGTTTCCGGTAAATTCGAGAAACGCCTAAGGATCTTCCGGCTAGCTTCACAAGATGGTGGGCTAGCCGACTTAGTTTTGAAGCCCCACTCATTCTAATTATTTAATATTAGGTCTTTCCCTAATATTTCTTTTTTTTTGTTCCGGTTAAATTCCGCCAGGTTACTCGCACTCAAACCACATCCCCATGCTCTACTTATAGATAGAGCTTGAGAAATATTGGTTTTGATTAGTTACTAGATTATCTCTTTTTGAATGAATTTCAAATGTTTATAGCCATTAGGATGTAAGGGATTTTATTCCAATATTCAAATCTGATGGGGGCCTAACTGCAAAATGTGCACCTGTCATCCCATATAAAAAGTTGCCCCAAATGATTCCATCACACAAACTCCTAAACCCACAATATACAACCCAAGATACCCGGGCACATTTACAGAAATGCCCCCCAAACTCCTCACTTATCTCATCCTAGCCCTCCTCGCCGCCTCCGCCGCCGCAGCGCGGCGCCACCCGTCTCCGGCGAGCTCAGCCGCCGCCGGGGAGCCCGTCTACCTATGGCCGCTGCCGAGGAACTTCACCTCGGGTTCCCGGACCCTGCTGGTCGACCCTGACCTCGCGCTCGACGGCCAGGGCCCCGGCGGCGCCGCCGCGGCGGTGGCCGAGGCGTTCGAGAGGTACAGATCGCTCGTCTTCTCTCCATGGGCGCACGCCGCGCGCAACGCCTCGGGTGGGTACGACGTCGGGAAGCTCACCGTCGTCGTCGCCTCCGCCGATGAGAAGGTACCGTGTGTGTGTGTTCGAGCTGCTCCCGAGTTTGGCTCGACGGTTGCTTCGTCTGGATCAGCACGCACACTGTGAATTTCTCCGTGTTTTTGTGATGTAGCTGGAGCTTGGAGTGGACGAGAGCTACACGATCTATGTCGCGGCGGCGGGCGGCGTCAATTCGATCGTGGGTGGAGCAACCATAGAGGTGATTTCATTTCCTCTTCTCCAGATTATGCCCTTTTTTTTACAGTAGTGTTGTGTTGGTGAAGTGTTTTGGGAGAATTTGACGTGAGGGCTACTACTTCTCCCTTTTTGAAGTACGGTTTAACTCCTAGCGTAGTTATGGAGCAAGTAGAGTGAGCTGAGTGAGTGGTAAAAAGAAGACTTCAATGTGGAATTACTGCAAATATTGATGAACTGGTTTCCAGTGAAATTCAGCTTATAACGGTATAGCATAGCTAAGGCTGAACTTCTCTAATGCAATGAACTTGATTTTTTTTAATGAGCTAGCTATTTGATTTTTGCGCACTTCTCAGTAGATGCATCAACTCTTGTGGTATTCTTGGAAACTCTGATATGAAATGCTCATATTATTGTGGGTTTTATCAAACGAAACTAACGGTTGGTACTGTTTGTGGAGTGTGTTGATTGATACGAACATCATCTCTGAATATTTTAGAGTTCTACTGCCAGGCTTGGGGTCTTGGGGCCTTGGGGGCATGGGTTCAACTAAAGTAGCCCTCACTCATATACAGTTTAGCTTTGCCGGTTGTGCCCCCTGCAAACTTTCAGAGAACTGAAGACAAACGTTGCTATTAAGTTATAATATTGTCCAACATTTCTCTTTTATGCACAAGTGTATGAAAACTGAAGCTGTATTTTATCTATCCTTGTAGGCTAACACCATATATGGAGCTATTCGTGGATTAGAGGTATGAACTTTATTTATGAGGAACTCCCTTTTCAATTTTTGTATGTTTTCCACCTGCTGATTGTTGTGTTGTGTTTCGAGGAAGTAATTATTGACTATACTCTAAGGTTCTGGAGAATTAGAACTCAATTGATGATACATTTTATATATCCAGTGATCAACTGGTGTATGTTAGTCCAGTAATTAATTACTGTTTAAACAGTTTCATGTTCCCTTTTACCTTTTTCTGCTTTCCTGAAAAAAAAAAGAAACATTTTCTCCCCTTATTGTAATGGTTGGCACATGGCAGACATTCAGTCAATTGTGTGTTTTCAACTACGATACCAAAAATGTCGAAGTGCGTCATGCCCCATGGTACATTGAAGACGAACCACGCTTTGCTTTTCGTGGGTTGCTCCTTGGTAAGAAATATAATCTTAAATGTTCCTGATATGACTGGTTAGCCACAACAGAAAGAATATTTATTTTCCCTGTCACATCTATTGCAGACACATCAAGGCATTTCCTCCCAGTAGATGTGATTAAACAAGTGATTGACTCCATGTCATTTTCTAAGCTGGTAATATATTATCTTCTGTATCGTGTTAGTTGTTTTTACCAGAATAACCTTTCCCTCTTCCCTTGCTATATACTGAGACCTAGAGTTGTGTCCAGTAGAATGTTCTTCATTGGCATATCATCGACGAGCAATCTTTTCCATTAGAAGTACCATCATATCCAAAACTATGGAAGGGTTCATATTCAAAATTGGAGCGCTACACTGTGGAAGATGCACGTGATATTGTCAGGTATCAAGTTTATCATTTGCCTTTCGCATTCTCTGTATCTTCTTTATATTCTATTGCCAAGTTCTTTCAGTTCACTTATAAAAGGTGTTCTCTGATTTCACGTCTGAAACTTCCCGACTCTAAAGCTATGCTAGGAAAAGAGGTATGCTTATTTCCAATTACATATATTTTCTTTCATCTAGCTGGGTGTAGTATCGTTCTATTTTAGTTGGAAGTTTGGGACTCTCAGCCGCAGGGGATTGTATGATACTCATGCAATTACATGTTTATTGAACTCTTTGTCACAGTTTCCCTAGTTGTTGTTTGTCTAGAATGTTATTGCTCTACAAGGAATGTGTTCTGATTATTATTTACATCTGTTAGGTATCCATGTCATGGCTGAAATTGACGTGCCTGGCCATGCAGAATCATGGTGAGTTTGCACGTACAATTTCCTATTCTGTTAGATTTCTGCTTGTGCATCAGTGAGGTTTGTCCCAGTTGCTTTTCACGTGCAACAGAATTATCTTATGTGCAAATCAACAAATAATCACATGCTGTTTCTTTGTGTCGCTTAGAGTTGCAATATTATGTGATTAATCCAAGCTCTTAGCTCTAGCATTTCAGCCGTTATGTTACAGTAATTCAAGTGTCACTACGTTCCATTTGATCCAGTGATTTAATTGAGTACATTGTATATTTGTGTACATAACCAAGCAACTGGGATTCAGTTACTACCTTATATGCTGTAGCAAGCATTTCAGATTTGGTTTTGCCCTGTTGTTTTGCTCTGTTGTGCTTATTATATGAAGTTGACTTGTTATCTACTCAGAGATACTTATGCAAATATTAATTTCTGCAGGGGAAAGGGATATCCAAAGCTCTGGCCTTCTCCTAAGTGCAGAGAACCGTTAGATGTTACTAGCAATTTCACATTTGAAGTTATTTCTGGAATTTTGTCTGGTTAGTTCCTCTTTCCTTCTTAAGAAAAAACTGGCTCAATTTAGGGATTGGTTGTTACTCAGAGACACATGCCTTCATATTTTCATTTATAGTCAAACTCAAATATTTTTTGTTTTCATGGAGAGTGGATGCAAAATCACTATAGTAATGAATTGTGACATGTGAAATAGGTAAGGCACTATCAAAATGGGTGTACTTACCCCTTAGTGCTTTATCTACTAGCGCTGCACCAAAATGGACTGATCAATTCAAATTTTGGCCATGTTTGATTACTCATCACTGTAAACTCAAAACACAAAGGGATTCACATGATTAGTCCTTCTGCAGGACAGCCAGTAATTCTATATTCCTATATTAGGTTCAGCATTTTTTCGGTCACTTTAGCATGCAACTGTTTGACAACTGGGTGTCTGAATCACTACAGCAGAGCAAGATGTGCAAAATTATTAGCCAGAGTAGGACCATCCTTCTGTACAATATCTTCCCACTAAATATTCATTATAATGTTACATGATAAGCAGCGAGCCAACGACAGAGAGTGCAAGTTATACAGCATTCTGTCTTTCCTGCAATTTAACCAAATTAACTTCTTGCCCTTTTCAGATATGAGAAAAATCTTTCCATTTGGGCTCTTCCACTTGGGTGGTGATGAAGTATATACAGGTTAGCCTGCTTCTCTTGTTTAATAGGAGGCACTTCATTAATAAGAGTGTAAGATGCTGGGATGTTGCAAACTTTTGGATTTGAGTGTGAGCCAACTATCTTCCATTAAACTGATATGTTAGAAGCTAGATCTTTTATTTCTAGGAAGAAAATCTTGTCTCTAATACTCCCTCCAGTCAAATATATTTGATGTTGGGACTTGGGAGAGCTAAGTCAAATGTATTTGACATTGGGTGAGCTAAACTTAGGTCTCCCAACATCAGATATATTTGACTTGAGTGAGTAATACTTTTGCCAAACAAGGCTCGCTGTGTTGTAAGTTACAACTACAATTTATGTCCGCTTTCCTTTAATGTTAGTTTAAACTGTAAGCTATATATTATTATCCAGAATATTTATTCGTAATCTGTGCCTACTTCATACCAAATCCAGTAGAGTATCTTGTAACCGATAAATACATTATGTTCATTGATGTGACTGGTGACATCTCTTCTGTTTGTTAGACTGAGGCTGTGTTTAGTTCACACCAAAATTGGAAGTTTGGTTATAATTGAAATGATGTGATGGAAAAGTTGGAAGTTTGTGTGTGTAGGAAAGTTTTGATGTGATGGAAAAGTTGGAAGTTTGAAGAATTATTTTGGAACTAAACACGGCGTGAACATTGTTGTAATTTGTTTTCCATGTATCAGTTCAGAGCAATAACGGTTGATACATTATCATGCTAAAAATAGATGCTGATATATAATTACTATCTATGTCATGGAGCTCTTCTTTTTTCTTGTGAATTTCTTTCCAACTTCATTCTCTTTCCCACCTCAGGTTGCTGGAATGCAACACCCCATGTGAAACAGTGGTATGTGCTCTAGTTTTTGTAAATGGTTGGTCAATCTTCTGCTAAATGTTCCTTTCCTTTCACTGCTTAACAGCACCTATTTTCCAGGCTTCATGAACGCAACATGACTACAAAAGATGCTTACAAATACTTCGTCCTGAAGGCTCAAGAGATAGCAATTAACCTTAATTGGATTCCAGTAAATTGGTTCGCTCTCTGCTTGCTAACTTTTGCTTAGGACTTCAAATGAAAAAAAAGGACATGAGGTTTACTTTTTATTTGTGGCATGCTACCCTCTTTATCTTGCAGGGAAGAAACCTTCAACTCATTCAAAGAAAATCTCAATCCTCTAACCGTGGTGCATAACTGGTAATTCATTAGTTTGTGTTCAGCAACTGAATCAGTTTCTTTCAGTTCTTGATAACCATACCTTCCATGCTAATGAACATCCATCACACACCTTGAATGTACACTTTATTGCAGGCTGGGTCCTGGAGTCTGCCCTAAAGTTGTTGAAAAGGGTTTCAGATGTATAATGAGTAACCAAGGTGTATGGTACCTTGATCATCTTGATGTTCCCTGGCAAGATTTCTACACTAGTGAGCCACTCGCTGGAATTAATAACACAGCACAGCAAAAGCTTGTACTTGGTGGAGAGGTTTGCATGTGGGGTGAGACAGCAGACACCTCTGATGTTCAGCAAACGATATGGCCACGAGCAGCTGCAGCAGCAGGTATGAACTGTACAAATTTTGGAAGCTTGCGCTGTATTTAAATCTCTCCATCCTTCCCTTTCTTCTTTTATGCCTATTGTTTTCGTGTGGCCTTATATGCCTTTATTGAATTACCATAGAGCGTATGTGGAGTCAGTTAGAGGCCATATCTGCCCAAGACCTGGAAACAACCGTCTTGGCTCGGTTACACTATTTCAGATGCCTGCTGAATCACCGTGGAATCGCTGCAGCTCCAGTCACAAACTCTTATGCTCGGCGTCCCCCAATTGGTCCTGGTTCATGCTTCATTCAGTAAACAGGGAGCTGCAGAGCAAAGATAGGCATAAGAGGGGTATTTGCCTCCATACACCTTCCACACTTCAGACAAAAATGGTATCTTGTCAATTTTAGTGTACTGTTTCTGTATGTTTGTTTGCATTACATTACCTATCACACGGATGTTTGACAATAAAATTTTATAGTCCCTCGTCATGTATTTTCGCCCTAAGTTTCAAATAAAACTGCAGAGCCGTTCCTTAGAAAAAAAGATCAATAAAAGATGGTCATCAGTGTAACACTAATTTATATTAATCTTACCAGTCTTGTTTTTGAATTCCTCCTACATGTATCGGGTTCAAGATTTGCAACTGGCCAATTGGCAAAGCTCCTTTGAACTGGTAAAAGAGAAGCGATCTCGATAAGGATATTTCAATTGCCATTGCTTACTCGACCCGATTTGGATTTTGGGACCCCCCATCACTCTCAGTCATCATCCTTTCCTGAGTTTGGCTTTGACCTGATACTTATGCTCCACTTGCTGGTCCAAGATTTCATTTATGGGGGCGGGTAAGTTACGACCACCTGTTGCTGCTTGGTGATCTAGATGAGAGATGAGAACAAGTTTTGGTCATTTGTTACAGGTCACTGTCCTCCAATGTCACCATCCTTGGCCATACATATCTACAGCTGCTGTTTTTTTCTCTCTATCCAGAGCTCAGTTTTTTCGTAAGGTGGGCAGTGAATGTGAAGAAAGGAATACCACCTATAATAAGCAGCTGTGTGAAACTTTTTCGTTAAAAGGAAGAGAAAAAGATTGGCCCTTTGGACTGAGACCAGTGACTGTGACTCTTGAGGCAGACTGGAGAATGGCCTTTTGTATTGATGTTCTTCATTGCACTATTGCGGTACATATATTTTTCTTCCTATGTGAATCACTGATGTGACTGCTGGATGATCCGTAGAATACCTATGGACTATGTGGGTACCATGTAGGAGACTAGTAGTCGATCTGTAGTACATGTTGTGCAAGTTGAGATCTTTTTGTCCCTGGGAGTATTTGTAGTAATTTCCTGCTACAAAGTGTGTGCTTGTGCTCTTTCACAGAATCATGTAAACCTGTGTTTACTCGATCTACAACTGTAGCTCCTTACACAGGAAGCAAGGGATCCTGTGTGACACCGAGATTAACATTACTATATGATATAGTTGAAACAATGTTGCACTCAACTTAGACTGTGGGCCTTGACCAATGGACTGGTATTGTTATATGTACAAAAACAAAGGGTACCCCGTGGTTGTAATGCAACGAGCACAAATGGACTCTTTCATTATGTTGTACTATGTAAAACTATTTTTTTAAGAAACACCACTCATGCACAAGCGCGCACGCCTGTCTATGTAAATGTATACATGCACACTTTACTCCTATAAACACTTTCGAGGACCGGCCTGGTCAGTATATCTTGAAATTAATAAAGCTATAATGGTTACCTCACTATATTGTGATAATAATTAACCGTAAATACGAGCACATATTTTATCACAATGAATCTAACGAATGTAATAGTAATATTATGCTTTGGGAATAGAAGTTTAATTGGATAACATTTTTGGTGTGTATAGAAAACCACCCTTTCCTATAAACTTGGGATTAAACACCTATTCGATTAGCACAGCTACATATAATAAAATTATTTTACAAAACTCTTACAAATGATCGTATCAACCAATCAAATCTAGAATCACTCGTAGCGTGAAACATCAATGTTATTAAGAGTTTAGTAAGATAATTCTAGTACGTATAGACTGTTCACTATATACGCATACCATCCCCCTACCACCACCAACACCTCCATGACTATCAACATCACCACCATGTGTTCTTCCTAAGATTACATACAATCACATTTCGTATGCATGAATTAATATTCAATTTAGAAAACTGCTCTATATGCTTCTATTAAATCCACAAATCTATGATATATTTACGGGCCTGATTGGTAGAGCTCTAATTCTTAAATTTAGCTCTAGGAGTTGAGCATGGAGTGGAGCTGTGGAGCTGTCTAAACTCAGCTCCGTCTCTCTAATTCATTTTGTAAGAGAGCTCCACCTAGCTCTGCTCTTATTTTTGGTGGAGTTAAAACTGTTTGGCTGAGAGCTGGAGCTGGAGTTGTACCAAAACAGGCCCACGCGTACTTATCTTAAATCATTGCAAAGTTAGCAACCGCCTTTCATCCAACACATGTCCAGTTCCTGAGTGTCAGTGTCCAAAGAGCAGGTGTACCTAACATTATAGCCAAGCCAAGGAGAAAGAGAGAGTGGCCGTTTTATGTTTTTCCGTTCCGTTCCCCTAGCGCTTAGGCTTAGCGCTCCATGTAAGACCAAGACCCCCGCGTCAAACCGCGGGCCCCACCGCGCAGCCGCACGCACGAATCTCGGCGCGGATCGGACGGCCTCTCCCGCCCTCAAAACCCTCACCCACTTCCCCTCCTCTCCTCTCCTCTCTTCTCCTCTCACCCGCGACCTCGCTGCTCGCCTCGATCTCCCGATCTGCTCGTCCCCAAGCGCCGCGATTCGCCGCGGGTGGATCCGACGCCGCCGGATTTGAGCGTGGGATTCGACTCACTCGGATCAGGTTGGGGGTTCTTCTACTTTTGTTTTTTTTTCTGATTTTTTTTGGAATTTTTTTGGGGGGTGTGGAATGGCGTGAGAATCACCATGCGGGTTTGGTGCGATTTCGTGTAGGTTTGCGTCGCCGGTGGTCCGATTCGGGTGGCCATGGCCACGCCCGACGACGGCGGAGGGGGTGTCGGCGGCGGCGCGGGGAAGAAGTTCTGGCGCTCCGCGTCGTGGTCCGCCTCCCGGGACACGCCGCCCGATGCGGCGACGCCTGCGGGGGCGGGCGGCGGCGGCGGCGCGGGGGCAGGGCAGGCGCGCCGCATCCCGCCGCCGCCGCCTCTGACCCCGCGCGGCGGGAAGGGGCGGTCCTGCCTCCCGCCGCTGCAGCCGCTCAACATCACCCGCCGGAGCCTCGACGAGTGGCCGCGGGCGGGCTCCGACGACGTGGGCGAGTGGCCCAACCCGACCACCCCCGGCGCCTCCAAGGCGGAAGGCGCCGGCTCGGCCAAGCCCGGGGAGGGCCTCCGCTTGGACCTCTCATCCCTCCGGTCGCAGGGTCGCAAAGACCAGATCGCCTTCTTCGACAAGGAGTGCTCCAAGGTTGCTGACCACGTCTACCTTGGAGGCGACGCCGTTGCCAAGAACCGCGACATCCTGCGCAAGAACGGGATCACCCACGTGCTCAATTGTGTCGGCTTCGTTTGTCCTGAGTACTTCAAGTCGGACCTCGTCTACCGGACGCTTTGGCTTCAGGACAGCCCGACGGAGGACATCACCAGCATCTTGTATGATGTGTTTGATTACTTTGAGGACGTCAGGGAGCAGGGTGGGCGTGTCTTCGTACATTGTTGCCAGGGGGTATCAAGGTCTACATCGCTGGTGATAGCGTACTTGATGTGGAGGGAAGGGCAGAGCTTTGACGATGCGTTCCAGCTTGTGAAAGCTGCCCGGGGGATCGCAAATCCAAATATGGGGTTCGCTTGCCAGCTACTCCAGTGCCAGAAGCGGGTTCATGCGATTCCGCTATCTCCAAACTCGGTTCTGCGGATGTACCGGATGGCACCTCACTCACCTTATGCGCCGCTGCATTTAGTACCCAAAATGCTGAACGAACCCTCACCTGCTGCCCTGGACTCTAGGGGTGCATTCATCGTTCATGTGCTCTCATCGATCTATGTTTGGGTTGGAATGAAGTGTGATCAAGTAATGGAGAAGGATGCAAGAGCAGCGGCGTTCCAGGTGGTGAGGTATGAGAAGGTGCAGGGGCATATCAAAGTTGTCAGGGAAGGAAGTGAGGTACCAGAATTTTGGGACGCCTTTTCAAGTGCACCTGTTAATTCAGACAGCAATACAAAGATTAGCAAGGATCAGATTGATTCAGCATCCAAGACTGGCCCGGGGAACCGTAGGGTGGAATCTTATGATGCTGATTTTGAGCTTGTATACAAAGCAATCACTGGGGGTGTTGTGCCAGCATTCTCTTCTTCAGGTGCTGGTGATGAGACCCATCTTCCAGCAAGAGAAAGTACCTGGAGTTCACTAAGGCGCAAGTTCATCTCTAGGTCGTTAGCTCGAGTCTATTCAGATTCTGCTTTAATCAGGGACTTGGATCCGCGGGTGGACCGAGTACAACACCTGGCTGCAGAGGCATCAACATCACCACCTTTCCTATCTCCGAGCTCTTTGTCATCAGATTCAAGCATCAGTTCAAAGTATAGTTCAGACTCACCCTCACTGTCACCTTCAACTAGCTCGCCAACATCACTTGGTCTTTCGCCCGCTTCATCTAATTTTTCCCACACTTTGGTGCCATCATCTAGGTCCCCCCTTCACCAATCATCTAACGAGGAACCTTCAAAATCTGGCCTGGGGTCAATACGCTCTCCCTCCAAGACCTCTTCTATAGCAGAAAGAAGAGGAGGGTTTTCATCTCTGAAGTTACCATCATTCCAAAAGGATCTAGTATTACCACCAAGGGTACCGACCAGCCTTCGCAGAGAAGAGGAAGTCACAGATAAGAGTAATAATAATAGTGTAAAACAGCTTACTGGTGTGTGTTGCCCAGAGAAATGCACTGGCAATACTTCAACAGTGCACACTAAAACTGGAATAACTGAGCGTACTGACAGTATCTCAGAGGCTTGCGGTAATTTACAACTATTAGTCTACCGTTGGCCCAGCAAGGAAAAGCTAACTACTTTCACTCGCAAGGATCTTGACCCAAAATCAGTTTTGATTTTTGTTACTCCTGAAGACAGCAGAAGTGAAGCAGTTAAAACGGTACACATTTGGGTAGGAGGTGAATATGAGAGCAGCAAATGTGTTGACACTGTTGATTGGCAGCAAGTTGTTGGTGATTTTTTTCATCTAAAGGAGCTCGGCAATACTCTTCCTGTTAAGGTGCCTACACTTATACTATACAATATCTATTTTGTTTACTCTACTTTGCTTTTAAAGGTTCAGTGCTAGTTGAATTTTATGCTCTGTAAGAGGTTAGAGAATACTAAATTCTAACTTTACGAAGCTAGTTGAATTTTATATACCGAGGATACTAAATTCTAGCTTTACTACCATCTCAGATAGTTTTCCACCACTGCCGAAACTTTGCTAGCAGCCACCCATTATTTATCATTGCTTTGAGCTCACTGCGCACACTAGTCTGCCTTGAACTCTTTGCCTTTTGCGCGTTGCAGTTATGGACCAAATATTTTAGTGGAATACAGAAATACAGAATCATATGTTATGCTATTACTGTGTAGAAATATTGCAAATAGGTGAACCATTTTGTGGCTCATTGAGAATTATATATTCAGAACATTTTCAATTTGCATAGACTCCAAATATGTTTAAGTCCGATAATTAGTTACTGGACATGGACTTTTTTTCTTTCATTTATGGACCATGACTTCACAATCTTCTCCTAGATTATTGGACCATCTTAGGAAGGGAAAATGGAAACATGAAAGCTTGACTTTTTTTTTCGCCGGTATGTAGAGTGCCTAGTGCGGTAGTGCCAGACAACTTTATCAGATATTTTATCCTCTGGATTATATTATGTCATGATTCATGACCATATACCTCTAGTTTTGTAGTATATGCCCATATGAACCTAACAGGCATAGCCATGCGTATACTACAAAACTGATGCGCATATGAACCTAGCAGGCATAACCACGCATTGGTTGACTCTTCTAGCGAGAAGCACATGGTGAATCCTTCCATATCATCTTACAAATGGAATCTATAATTTCTGTTTTCTATGAGGCTTCACATTCCATTCCATCTTCTTGTGAAATAATATTATGTATGAACTGGCATGGTCCGTAAACTTACTGTAGAAAAAAAAAGACTAATACTTCTCTTGATTATTTTTCATATCGGTTTACTGTAGTAGCACATGGAAGTATGGAACTTAGGTTGATGTTTCATTTATTGGGCCACACCACAATTCTGTGCACTTCTGGCATTCACTATAAATCCTCATAAATTTGGCATGAATTGTGTGAACCACTGAACCTTGCCTAGAATTACCTTCTCTTACTTCTACTTGGCTGGTGGTTTCTCCTGTCCTTACAAATGTCACGAATACCAATCAGCATCTGTGGATTTATGTTATAAAGAAATGTTACAAATTCCACACCTAAGTGCAATACTTCTTCATGCCATGCAACATTTTGTTCTGCCTGAAAATTTATAACTGGACACTAATTGGATCGGAATAATGCAGGTTTTCAAAGAGCATGAAACGGAGAATCTTTTGGAAGTGCTGAATGCTCGTTAATGGTAGGCTCAGGCTGTAGGTATCAGCATATTGTAGTAGCTTAACAAAGTCAGCCGTGAAGTATGATTGAATGAAGGCATCTCCTCCAGAATCGCTCCATGCGGTGGTGATTTTCAGCGAGGTATAAGCCGTTACAACTATTCCCCTTGAACATATAGACCACAGATTCCATTTAGTAGAACTGATGATGGATTGGCAATTGTGCCTACCTCATATGATTTGCTTATGGTCAGAAAATGGGCAGGAGGCTGCCAGAACGTTGTATCTGTGAGTTAAAACACACATGGATCAGGTTTTGGCACAATTTGGGTGTATATTCTCCGCTCCCCTGTAATGTAAGCTCAGAAACTGGGAGGCAACGGTGTCGTTTTCACCCTAAAAATTTCTTGTACATCTCGAAAAAGAAACAGATCAGATGTGTAATCCTCTTGTCTTATAAGTCCCTCCATTGGTCTTAACTTTTAAGCTAACACTTGGTTGTTGGGTGTACCTTCTCTGATTGTGATTTAGTACTCGATGATCTCCCATGTTTATTAGTCAAAAATCATTGCACGATAAAGGGAAATTTGGTTGAAGTGCTGACGTCCATTTTACTGTAGAAAATCACTTTCATGGGCTTCACGTTCCGGCCCAATATAAAAGGCCCCCCCGCAAGTGGTCCACAGTACCGTTCCTGCCTGTAAATGGGCCAAATTCTCTCGCGTGACGCCTGTTTACAGTTGGGCCGGAAAGAAATATGGCTGCGCGTGACCCGAGCGGCAGAAGCCACGGCCAACAAACAAGACGGCGTCCAGCACTATATTAGTACTTGTAATCTAATGACTGCAAAGATAATTTTACATTTTATATATCAAGCACCTGCAGTGCAGAGAACGGCCTGGATAAAGCCTCAAAAACGGCAGCCAAGTCATTTCACTACCAGCAGGCTGGGCTTCCTCAACTATTTGCCACTGGATCCTCCTAAGCTAATAGCCTAATAACCCTTGAGCCTTCTGAGCTCCATGTTAACACAACCCTACAACCTGTCGTCCAGTTAACTCATCAGGATGTCTTCATTCATATCTCACACCAAGACTTTGGTGTTTGGTCCGGTGCAGCAAGGCAACAAATGGGGTGGATCTCTTCTTATGTCGTTTGGTCAGCTGTTGTTAGCAGAATTCGACGGGTTTGCAGCGGCTGGCTTCTGCGGTTTACTTCTCAAGAAGCTTTTTGTGTACAGGGCTCCGAATACAATGGCCTGTTACCGAAAACATGTTAATCATAACTGAAACGAACAATGTGTAATATCATGGAATGATTTACGAAGGCTAAGACAGATGACTTACGGCGCCAACCCACTGCATCCAGCTAAGAGGATGTACAAACCACACACAGGACAATAATATACTCACCAGCTACAACAATACATGGAAAATAACTGTTATGGAAAGGTTAAATAACACATCTATACACATTTAAGGATGATAAAAACAGCATTCACCTGTCTAGTCGTCATTATCGTAGCAAATGTGAGAGCCCCAAATGTTCGTATGGTGTACGATATGAAGAACTGACTAGCTGTTGCAACCTGGAATTTGAAACACAGTAAAACAATATATCGTACTAATTATGCAAACAGTCACAATCTAGCTTCAATTTGTGGGTTAAGTGCCAAATATTTAAAATTTGAGACAGTTCAGAAGATTATTTTTTGTCCTAATTTAATGTCCCACCAGACGTACTAGTTAGTATTAAATTTCATCTCCATTTACAGCTTATGTGGAGAGGTGGTGACATGGAAACAAGGAACAAGCAACAAAATTGCACGTTAAAATATCAAAAGGTTAGTCTTACACTGGATAGGATTATGACGTCGTAGAAGCAATCTGGATGACGAAACATAAAGTCCACAGCTGGAATCATCTGATTCTGGAGAATAAGTCCTGTAATAGAATTACAGCAACAGAGATATAAAATCATGACCGTAGCAGTTGTTAATAATGTACTCCCTCCGTACTCGTAAAGGAAGTCGTTTTGAACAGCGACATGGTCTCCAAAACACAACTTTGACTTCCTGTTTCTATAAAAGTATTTATTGAAAAGTGATATATGTATACTTTTATGAAAGTATTTTTCAAGACAAATCTATTCATATATTTTTTACATTTTCAAACTCAACAACTTAAGAGTTATTCATGATTTATATTCCCAAGGTTTGACTTAAACATTGTCCTAAACGACTTCCTTTACAAGTACGGAGGGAGTATTGCGCTGTACAGTGCAGATGTACAGGGAAAACATTGATAGAATCATGAAAGCAAAGAATTGCAGGCCAAATTTCTGCAGCACATAATAAAAGAAAATACAGCAACCATAAGGGCAAGCAGTTACCGCTCAAACTAAGAACACAGGAGCACATTGTCGTGTAGAATATTTGATTGTGTATTTCCATGTCATACCCTTTAAAGAGTTTATCTTGGAAGGTGCTTGTGAAACCATCAAATCTAAAATCAACAAGGAAATTTGATCCAATTAGATAGAAGTCTGAGGGTCAGAGCTGATCAAGAGAAAGTAAAAAGGGAAAGAAAACACAACAGTGAATTTTAACTGACAATAATGTAACTGTACTAATACTCCAATACCACTGTAGTAAACTCATTTTAGGGGATTGAACTGCTTATACTTTTGTATTCCACGAACGATATTGAATCATACAGTGGAAAGATTTTATATTTCCTAGCCCAGATTTTTTATGTGCCAGCAAACATGTATTGGTGTATATATATAACAAAAGAAAATAGTTCTAACATGGCAAAATTATTTAATTGTATTTTGAATGTAACAGTGTGTTATATGATTGATGAGTGCAAGCAAAAGCAGATTTGCATGCCAAATAGAGCTGAGTAATCATAAGATTTCATAAATGTAAACTGTTATAGAATGCTATGATTTGCCTCGCTGAGTTTAAGATAAGAAGGATTACCCAAGATAACCAAGCATGAGTGAAACGCCCCAAATAGTGTTTTCTCTGCCTCTGTTGAATGGACTGGCATCCATTGATGCCTGTATCCATGAAGACAACACAGGAAAAAAAATCACTTCAGAAGAAATACCAAAATCTAAGCAAGGTACAAAATTTTCAATTATTAAGATTAGTTCTTCGGATGATAAAACTCTCACCTCCATACTGCCACCAATTGAATTCTAGCGCATGCTCTATTCCTATTATAATTTTGTAATGCGTTTGGAAATGGTGGCAATTGAAATTTCTTATGTTTTCCAACACATTTTCTATCCGTGTACATTTATCTAGCACGAAATAATGTGATATTCAGCAGTAAATGAACAGAGATGGATATGGGAATTACTGGGTATAGAATGAACAACGAGCAACCAACAGTCACGACAACTGCAAAGAAGTAATCTTTTCCACCGTACTTCTTCCTCATTATAATTGTGCCCCAAATCTATCAAAATTAAAAACAAGGTAATAGATATAAGAAAAGGGACCATCTTAATTGTCAGGGAAATAGAACTCGAACATGGAACGTGTAAAGTAGAGAAGACAAAAAACGATTCACATCTATAATACACACATATATACATAAGATTTCTACTACGTAAAAAGAGCGGTTGCTGAAATGCTGATGTGCTCTACCCGGATTTTCTATCCGTCGATCTATGTTAATAAGTATGGGACACCTGTGACATTCTTAAAAATAATTGCATAGTGCATATGTGTATATGTAGATGGCCATTGGCATTACTTTATTCATTTTTCTGTTAGGACATAAGCATTATGAAATTTCTTAAATTAGAATATGTAACAAATTTTTTGATGAAACTTCTAAGCTTTGTAGTATGGTTGCTTTGATGTCCATCATTAGTGAACTGACGAACACTAGAGATTTATGCAAAAGCAGGTTAAAGCACTAGTAGAGTATAGTAAAAATTACCATCACAGGTATCATCTTTGCACATTTGGCAAGTGTTTGGACAGGGAAGCTCACATACTTGAGTGCCTGAAACAATCAAATTATATTTGGTAAATTAATAACATGAATCAATACCAATGACACTAGACATGAATAAATGGGATTGAATATAACCTCATATTGGCAAGTTGTAGTCAGTATGTTTGATACAGAGACCACACAGTACTTCTGAAGTGGAGCCACAGGGTCCAGGGATTTCTTACTTGCCTGCATGAATGTACATACAGGATTTAGGGGTTTAGCATATTCTGTTGGAGGTAATCTCACAGAGAGATCTGTACCGTTAGCACCAGCGCAGACACCGTAGACGTGGTGATACGGTTACAGAAAACAAGAAAAAGCGAGTATCTGAAGAACTCCTTTTCTGCTCCATATGGAACTCTCATGATTTTTTCCTGCATAACATTACATCAAAATGTTAATTAATAAGTGATCATGTCCATGTACACAGTCGTAGGTGTCTTTTCCAAGAAGACATGTTTATGAATACACCGTTTAAAAAAAAGACTGTCGGTAAGTGCTTATTTGAAAGGAAAAAAGAGTCTAGCTCTTTTGGATAGGAAAGATGTATTGTCTTTGTTGGATATGGAAGAAACTAGCAGGGGTTTAAGGAATGAAAGGACGAATGTTCAGAAATCCTTTTTTTTGGTCCTGTTTACATTGAACTTTGAGCCTTGTGCAGCATCCAAACATTGATAACTTTCCAACCATAGATTCAGGACGGAAAATGGTGATTTGTGTTTAATTCATGAACAATTTAGTATAATCGAGCAGAATTTTGCTAGTAAGTTGACCCAAAAGAACAATTACCAATCTCAGTACCAGTGAGTTGATCAATATCTACAAAACATTAAAACAAACAAGGAAGCAGTCGAAGAAGGGGACTCAGTGCGTCTCAACTTAGTTGAGCTTATTTGCAAGACGAGACAAGACAATCAATCCACTGCACAGATCAACTTGTGAACACACCAAATATCCAGCCGACGTATGACGCGCTGACAAACGGAAGATTTGGTGCCGCACAGTCGATTTAGTAGCAAGCAGGGTCCAGTTCTAGAACACACGCAACTGCGGCACCGATCCGTGATTAGCGGATCGATCCGTGATTAGCGCGAGGATTGGCGATCCGGCCGAGTGAAGCCGTCTCGCCGCCGCCCGAGCGCGCTGCCGTGCGGGGCGCAGTGAAGGCGGCGGTGGGGCATTGTGCAGGCATGCGCTGAGCAGCGATTCTGGAAGAATTTGTCGGTGGCGGCATCAGGAACGGGGCGACGGGCACGTCGTGCTCAGGATCAAGTGCGGAGGTGGACATCGCCAAGCTCTCCTCACCATGCACTTGGTGCCGGTGGGGGTTCAGACTCCATGGCGACCTTCACCTCGTCGCGTTGTTCCACCAAGACTCGTCGACGGCAAGCCTCGTCTCCCCAAACGCTTCTCTTTGTGGTTCTTCATCTTGCTTCCCAGATCGCTAAAGGTGTTCTGGGATTTCGAGGTGAAGAGTATACTCGTCGTCACAACCCGGCTGCCTGATTCGTAGATCCTTTCGTTCGTGTGACCCTCTAGCTGTTCGTTGTGGATGGTGGTGGAGGGATCTATTTCGGGACCGATAAGGTAATACGGCAGGCTACAATTGAAGGGGGCGGATGCCAACTTTCTTCTCATCATTTTAGTGGCTACTTCTCGCGATGATGTTTTCTTCATCATAAGGCAGTGGCGTTCAGATCTACCATAGACCATCGTCAGCTTCACTTCGATTAAAGGTATCGCTTATCTATATCTCATCCTTTAGATCTACCCTATGGATTTTGGGCGTGTGCCTTTTTGGCTTCTCGCGACATTATCTTCGTAGGGTATTTAGCTATAGCCTATGGATTTTGGGTGTGTGCCTTTTTGGCTTCTCGCGACATTATCTTCGAAGGGTATCTATAGAAGGATGCAGGTAATGATGTTCGTGGCCTTTTGTGATTGTGTTAAGTTTGGGGTATGGAGGTTCTGTCTCGGAATGAGGGGGCAACAATACTAGTGGGCTTCATTCAGGCGGTACTTGTTACTAATTCTTTAACTCCGGGGTTAAATCCCTAAGTCTGACCTTAGTTGGTTGTACTTGGCAATGGATGTTCTTTCCTTCTTGAAGGCATTGTCTGGAGTTCACAGAATTTCCCTAGGTGAAAACCTATGGTCTGATCTTAGTTGATTGGAACATGACAATGATGACGCGTGCGTGCGTCATTTCCTCATTGGAGGCGTTGTTTTAAAGGGAGTCCATTTGATAGTCTAAGTGTTGTTTTGGTGGAGATAAGAGATGAAGATTACTTGTGGTTGTAAGTCGCTGCGGCACGGTTGTAGCAGTTGTGTCGCTCTTTTTCCTTTTCTTTTATAATATTGATAGGCTGTGTGCATCCTAGCTATGCAGAGGCCGAGAGTGGTCTTAGAGAAATTGTATCTTCTCGATGTAATTGTTTAAGATCAATAAAACTCTCTTTATCTAAAAAAAAAAAAGGGTCCAGTTCTAGAACGAAGTAACGGGAGCACCAAGATGCATCGCCCAGTCATTTTGATTTTTGACGACCATATTTTTGTGTTAAGAAAAAAATCATTTCATGACTAGATTGAATCGAACCCCGCACCACCAAAATGGAGGCTCAGTCTATAGGCGACAGAGAGCAAATCAGCCATTTGTGACGCGGATTTCGAGGAAACGACGAACAGCCACGACAGATCGCCACAATCCCCCGAGCTGTTACCCCCATTGGTGGGTTCAAAATTGGGCGTGAGCGATTGGAATGTGAAGGGGAGGTCGAAGAGGGGCACCTGGAGAAGGCCGTAGATGAGGAGGGTGCTCATGATGCCGACGACCGCGAAGCCGCACCTCCCCACCAATCGGCGCCGGTCCTCCTTGTCCTTCCCCGTCGCCGCCGCCGCCACCGGCAGCGTCCCCGCCACCGCCGCCGACGCCGACGCCGAAGACGACGCCGCGTCCGCCATGCCCTAGCCTAGCCTAGCCTAGCAGGCGAATCGGATTTCGCGGCGCGGCGAGGGGAGAGGAGAGGAGGCGATCGATGGCGGAGGCGGAGGCGGAGGCGGAGGCGGAGTGAATGCGTCGAGGCGCGTGGGCCCCACGTGGCAGCTACCTCCGCTGGGACTCGGCGCGTGCGCTGACTCCTCTCTCTCTCTATCCGGTGAAGGCGTGCGACCAAAGCGTACGGCCGGTCTGTAACCACTAACCAGTAAGGCAGTAACCACAAACACAGGGAAGCGTTCAGATTACTCCACTCTACACATGCCAATAAGATAAGATAGTGCTCACTCCGTTCTACTCCAACGAATTTAGATATAATAGAGATATGTCCAGATTCATAGTACTGCTAGGTTAGTCTTTTATAGTACTAAGGGAGTAAAATATAACAGCACTTTTGATTTGTCCCCATAAATAACAATTTTTCCTTATCAACCAATCACAACCATCCAATATTTATATTTCCCAAATACCTTCGCTTCTTAACCAAACACCAAGGTTCACAATTCCGACAAAAACCGGTCGAATTCCGCGAAATTTCAACGCTTTGACACAGCTCATAATTAAGTTTCGATTGGAATTTCGAAGGTTAAACGGTAGATTTGGTCAAAATTCAGTCAAAATTTATCGAAAACCGATCGAAAATTATTCCTATTTAATTCTACCTTCTTTAATTCTAAACCGATCGAAAAGTAATGTAAACCCTGCCAATCACAACTTATTCCTATTTAATTCTACCTTCTTTCTTAAAAACCGTATTCAACTCTAAAACTTATTATATTTTATTATATTTAATTCTACCTACGAAGATATATCCTCCGTTCAAAAATATTTTAAATTCATATTTAGGATTAGTTTTTTTTACAGAGTAGTATATTGATATATTTTATAGAAAAATGCTATTAAGAAGCATTATGAAAATAATTTCTATGACCAAGTTTTGCGACAATATTGTATAATTTGAACAACACTCGCAGGATCTCAGTTGCAGTAATCTTTTTTTTTTCTAAAAACTACTTAACACACCATTCACATGTACCAGCATCTTTGAGAAGAGTATGACGCTCATCATTATCACTAAATCGCCCGTGCTAGCATGTACGTGGTGCCTCCGATACGATATTATTTTAGCCAAAATTTTCAATTTTTTTTGAAAATTTTTCATGAATTTTGGTAAAATTTGTTCAAATTACTAAATTTTGTTCTAAGCTTCAGAAATTTCATCATATCAGCACTGCTCAATACAAAGGCCGAAAACGAGAAAGTGAACCCTGGGTGGGGATACTTTAGAAATATTTTACATTCGTGTACAAATTTTATGCGTAAGAATGCTTAAATATGTAAACGGAGGGAATTCCATTGTTATTGATCAAACCACTAAAAAAATAATAAAATAATTTATAATATGAAACGGAAAGGGTAAAAGATAGCATGAAGATGGATATCTTAAAAGTGATACAGAAAAGTTGAACACAGCCAGCAAAATGGAGTACTTGGGCGATTAGGTAATAAAGCCAATATAATATTAGTAGATAGATAGATCATGTCCAGTACTAATACAGAGCAACTAAACATTGATGCGAGGCAGACACACTGAATTCTGAAGCAGACATGGAGCAAAATAAGGCGAAATGGGCAGCAAGCAAATCGAAGAACGTCCATGCGGCATCGATAAAAAGCACTGGTTGTTTCACTTCTTCTTGGCGAGGAAGACGTCGGAGAGCACCGTGTCAGAGCGCAGCGCCGCCTTCAGAATGCCCAGCCCCTGTCAAGAACAAGAACAGCCAAGACGATGGGTGTGTTTAGTTCACGTTAAAATTGAAAGTTTGGTTGAAATTGAATCGATGTGATCAAAAAGTTAGAAGTTTGTGTGTAGGAAAGTTTCCATGTGATGGAAAAGTTGAAAGTTTAAAAAAAAAAGTTTGGAACTAAGCTCAGCCGATGATGAACATTGAACAAGAATGAATGAATAATTCATCAGATGCACAATGCTGCACTATACCTCGTCCATGGCGATGCTGACGTACTTCTCGGCAAGCTCGACGTCTTTGCCGACGCTGAACTTGTTGATGAGAGTGATGCTGGAGATGGCCGACATGGGCGTCACCTCCAGCCCGTCCGTCACCATGTACGTCACGAGCCCCTTCACGTACCCGCTGCTCTCCCCGTCGCCTCCCGACGCCGCCGCCGACGACTGCGCCGGCGACGACGCGGACGGCAGCACGAGCGCCACCTCGGTGTCCATCGCCTGCTTGCACTGCGGGCACGCCGCCTTGGCCTCCATGGCGGCCGTGGTGCAGTGCCCCGCGCAGGTGTACAGCTTAAACCTGGCCAGCGGCGATCCCCCGGCGCCGCCGCTCTCCGGCTGCAGCAGCAGGAGCTCGCGGGCGTCCGGGTGGAGCACCTTGGGCTGGAGCAGGTCGGCGCGGTCCTTGTTGGGGAGGAGGTAGGAGGCGTTGATGTGCTCGACGCTCTGGTACAGCCGCCCGATGCTGCCCTGCATCGTCCCCGCCGAGATGAGCTTCACGACGGCGCCGACCGGCAGCGTCAGGAGGCTGAAGACGAAGTCGACGAACTCCTTGCCGGCCTCCGCGAACAGCACCTTCTTCGACTTGCTGTCCACCAGCAGCTTCAGGCTGATCTTGCTCCTCGAACCCATCGTTTGTGGGTTTTCTCTTGCTGATTCAGGATTCAGTATGTATTCAGATGTTGAGAAAATGAGATTGCTTTGCTGCGTCTATATATAGTTCTCTCACTTTTTACCTGACCATTCGATTAGTGGAGTGCTTAATTAATGGCATTGTTAACTGAAATCTCCTAGTAGGCTTCTTCTCAGTAATTCCGTGGTGGGAATTGGAAGAGCCAGAGCCTTTTTATCTTCTCAACACTCTGCTTCGGGAAGGAGGAATTCAGGATCAGCAGTTAATTCAGCGTTAAATCATCCTCCCAATCTCTCCAACTTCAAGTTTAGTAAGTTTAGTAGGAGTAGTAGTCATTCTGAATGATGCTTCAGAAACAGAGATCCACTACATTCACATGGCTTTATCTGCCAAAATGGCACATTTGAGCAGATGCTATGCTACTGCTTCAAGGAGGAAACCATATCAAAATGTAAAGCAACACATTTAGAGCTAAATAACTGCATTGCATCAGATCATTGTTACATATCAATTGATTGAAGCTAAACCTGAAGGAGGCGACACAAAAATACACTATACCTATTCTATCATTATATTCAGAGAAAGTTCTATGTCAATGCCCTGTACTGTTCCCTGTTCTATGAATATTGTCAGTAAAACTAGCAAACTACTCTGTTGATTTTCTTCAACCAAAACTAGCACCATCTTTTCGGGAATACACCAGAGGTGCATTTTTTCATACTTTACTGAACTGATCCTCAGCAATGATCCAAGTGGTACTATTTCTAAAAGAATGAAACAAATCTTAATGATGTCACTTTTGTAGGACGTCCAAGCTGTCCATCCTTGCTGAAGTCTACTGCTACTCTACGCTTCCACATCGGGGTACCGCAACGCACTTTCCGCTGAAATTCGTCGATATCGAGCAGAACAACAATTAGAGCAGGTACAATATCAGGCTATAAGCCAGCTACAAATATATTTTAAGAAGATAAATAAGGAGAGAGAAAAGCAGCGGGCTACAGATTTGTAGCCAGCTGTAGCACGGACTTCAAGACGCAGTGTGTATATGACAGGTGGGACCAGATATTAATAGTGTAGTATGTAACTATTGTATAGATGAGCTATTAGATTGGCTATAGATGAATTAGAGCTAGTAGTTGGCTATACTATTAAACTTGCTCTTAGTGAGCAATTTTGTAATAAGAACAAGTGAACAATCAAGTCTTAAAACAAGTGAACTACTCTACTAAAATGAAAATTCAGTAACCAATGCTACTGAATAAGTAGTACTCCCACAACAGTGAAAACTGGAGAAAGGCCCGGGTCTTCCCGGCTAGTAACGCAAGCTGCGAGCTAGCCGGTCCGGGTTCGAGCCTCACCCCCTTTTTAATTCAAAATCAATCTAGTCCTTCCTAGATTGGTCCCATTTTATATCAGTGAAAACTGCTACTGAAATCAGTAATGTCGATCAGACTACGGTATGCTCCTAAACTGAATAATCATGCAGTGACCAATGATAATACTCTCACAACAATGAACAACGCTGCTGAAGAAAGCAAGATCAAAATTCAGCAAGCAGCTGGTAGAAAGAACAAAATGCCTGTAGCTAGCTACTCTACTACTGACCAACCCAACTATCATTACAGCAGTGATCAGTGAACAATACTACTGAAATCAGCAACTTCGAGCATTCTACAATATACGCCCTCCGTTCCTAAATATTTGACGCCGTTGACTTTTTTAAACATGTCTGACCATTCTTCTTATTTAAAAGATTTAAGTAATTATTAATTCTCATCCTATCATTTGATTCATTGTTAAATATACTTTATGTATACATATAGTTTTACATATTTCATAAAAGTTTTTGAATAAGACGAACGGTCAAACATGTTTTAAAAAATCAACGGCGTCAAATATTTAGGGACGGAGGGAGTATAACTTATGCTACTGAAATGAAAATTCAGCGAGGAAAGAAAGAAACGGCAGTGAGCTGCTCGTCAGTCACCTGGTGTCCCGTGATTGAGCACGACGATGTGGATGGGGTTGTTGCCCATGGGCAGGTCGACGAGCAGAGGGGAGAGGTGGGCATAGCGGCCGGCGCGGACGCAGAGCGTGATCTGGCCGGCGTCGCAGTTCTGGCCCAAGCGCTCGGCCATCGTCAGCCGCAGGTGCGTCAGGTTGTTGGTGTTCACCCTCACCGGCGCCCACTCCTGCTCGCCGTACCTCCCGGCGTTGTCGGCTCGGACGTACCGGATCACCCGCGACAGGTCGGATTCCACCGGCGGATTCGTGCGGTGCATCAGCTGTTCATCGATCGCACAATGCAGTGACAATGAATTAATCTAGCAGAGTACACATTGGGGACAACAGATATCTGATAGAACAGTATAAGATCATGAAATGGAATTCAGTTTGGAACAATCGATACACAGTTTTTCAAGAAACCAGAAATTAACAACGCTCAAGAATTTTCAAGAACTCGAGAAAGAATCTAGCTAGGGATTGGAACCGATCCAAGAATGTTTGATAGATTGAATATAGCACAGGATCATGAAATGGAGTTCGGTTGGAATGATCGCTACACCCTGTAAGAACCCAGCAACTAATGCTCAAGAATTCAAGAACTCATGAAAGAGGATTGAAACCAATGCAAGAACGTTTCATGGATTGAGGGCTGGAGAATCACTGAAAGTTTAATCACAAGAACACAACAATTGAAGAGAGCACAATATCTGACAGAACAGAACAGGATCGCGACACAGTGCAAGAACCCATCAATTAATGCTCAAGAAATCAAGAAAGAAACCATGGATGTGATCGATCATTGGAGGAACCAATGCAAGAAACGCAAGAACATGATGTTGGGAAAATTGATCTCTCGGTTTGGAAAACCGGGAGGAGATCATGCTAGACCGTTTTCCACCCGTTGTCTGCGCGAGATCACAGCGATCCAATCTATCTATCTATCTTCTATCTATCTATCTATCTATCTATTATATACTAAAAGTCCATTAAACTTCCTACAAACGCTCTCAAGCCATCACGTGTACCCCTATAAACACTCCTAAGTCGCCACATGGCACTATATAATCTTATCGTTGATTTTCATTTAAATTAGTGGACCCGTTATTTTATACCATTAGATTAGATCTATTATTAAAAAAATATTTTTCTTATGTTGACATACAAGCGCTACACGATGTAAACGCTACTTCTTGTCTTTCCGTACGTACAAATGCACGTGACTGAAAGCAAAACGATAAAGCTTTCCTATTCTTCGCTGGAAAAAACATACATCCATATAAAAATCAATGGTCTTTAAAATATGATTTCTATAATATAAAAATAAAATATATAACTTCACAAATATAAATATATTTACTTAAATCTATCTATTATTATATACTAAAAGTTCGTTAAACTTCCTACAAACGCTTCTAAACCGCCTTCGGTGCTATAAAACAAAAAAACGTGAACTTTCGATTTGCCTTTTAATAGACGGGAAACATCTAGCCCTCAATTTTCATTTAAACTGGTGGATCCATTATTTTGCACCATTAGATTAGATTAAAACCTCCCTTCCTCTCCTCTCCTTGCACGTTTTGTGGTCCAAATTACAGAAAACCATACACATTTTGACACTTGGTACTCAAGTACATATATTTTGGTAGTGTAGTTTAACAAAACTAAACTATCAATGAATGGATTCACCTGTGAGACGACGTCATCGTTCCACCTAGGATGAGGACGTGGTATCCTGTTAACTTGGACCATAAAACGTGTAGTTTTGTGAAATTTACTCTTTTTTCTATTCCCATTCACCCACTTTTATTTTTTTTACCTAGGGTACCCCTAAATATTTTTATATTACTTTTTTCGCTATTGACTTTTGAGCATATGTTTGATTATTCATCTTACTAATAAAAATACATAATTACCATTTATTTTATTATGATTTTACATTGATGTCTTATGTTCGCTATATTTTAGCACAAAATACATTGCGGCAAATGGCATCGACATGTATTAATTAACTCCATAACAATTTTTTCAAAAAAAAATCGCATCAAACTATATACTTTATGGTATCAAATATTACTTAACAAATATACAATGGTAATTTGAACTATGTAAAAATGCAAACCATGTAATTTAGTTGTTTTTTTAAGTAGATCCAATTTAAATTTTAATTTATGTGAGATTAACATTATCAAATCATTTTGGAATTTTTCGAAACTGTTTGGTTGGTATTTCAATAGTAATAAATCCTACATTATACATATATGTAAAGAAAATTCAACAAAAAAATTTTCAACAGGTAAAGTATATATCATTGGTTTTTTTTCATATTTTCTAATAATTATTTAAATGATATGAAAATAGTCAGAATATAACCCAAAAATAACATATTTATTTAAGAAGTTCAAATATAGTTAATAATGGTCCAAAGACATAAGTCGATAAAAAATAGCTATTTATTTTAAAAGATTATAATAAATTAGGGTTCCTGACTAATATAGGATGAAAACATGAGAGACAGTACATTGGGAGAGGGCATGAATGAGGCGAAGGGGGTGGATGTTGGGCGATGGTGTACGTATGTGCATACATACAATGCCCCTCGGGCTCTATATTGGCACAATCGATGTTTACTTTATGTTTTCACTCCCAATACATATCCAAAATGACATATTTGGTTAAGGTCGGCTTTTGACTCTAGCTACCACAACAATTATAATTTTATATCTTTATTTGTGATTGATCGAAAAATGCAGTTCTGCCAGTTAGAGGAAACAATCCAATCCAAGAGTGCCAATCGATCTTCTACATAAGTGCTCTAGAATATATTCTATGGTACCATTTAAATGACTTTATTAGACAGTATTTAATGATCTTTTAGTATATAGTACATAGATATACTTGCCGATGGCTTTGTACTTTTATTTCATACCTTCCGGGTATAAAAAAGTATGTTTTTTATAAATATTTATAGTTTTATTTATAAATAAATAAATAAATCAATCAATCAAGATCACATTAACTATATTTTACTACATAGAAGTTAACATGGCAACTAAATAACAACGGAAAATTAATTGTACATATGTATTATGTTATACTAAATCATTCATTGTATGTAACAAAAGTCAATTAAACACGCTCTAGAGCGCTCATAAATCACCGTATAATATGTCGTAAAGTTGTAATAAATAGTAATTACATTGACGTATCTATTATTTTTAACTATTAGATCTATTATTTTTTAAAAAATCTTAAGTCGCCATGTGTCACCTCCTATGAAAACAGGAAAAACCATAGAAATTCTTAGAAAAAATGAAACACCCCATCATCGGCTTTCACTTAAATCATTTAGAAAAATAGAAAAATAAAATCTTCACCACCTCCTCACCCTCCCATGAACAAATACTATCATCCACTCCCGATTGTTTTATCTCTTAAATTAAAAGAGAAACAATATATAATGTTTGATATTTTTAGAAACTAAGTACAAACGCAAAAACTCACAACGCGCACACACTTACCCTCTATTAATGCACACATGCATATACCTCTATGAGTACTTCTGAGAGATTAGACTGACATATTTTGACATTGATGAAGTTGCCACGCACCTCACTGTCAACGGGTACGTCGCCTCCCATTGAAAGAATTTGTCAAGTCTAGGACTTGCACCCGAGTGGGCAAATTTCCACCACAGAGAACCTAACCAATTGAGCTACATTCACTTCGTAATAATGTTGGATATTAAAACAACCATAATATTTAAGCTACATTTCTGAAATACTCCTATGACTTTTAAACCGGTGGAAATATTATTTCTAACCGTTAGATCTATCTTATATAAGAAAAAAAAAGCGTGTATTCATGGTACATCACATTTCAAAAGTATTATTGTGCAATTATATTTCGTCGTTATCGTATTCACGTTAGCTGGCGTGGAACCTCTGACCCACTCTACATGAAATGTTCATAAGATGGACTGGTTGTCAAACTACATCTATCATATTAGGCTATATAAACCCATACATTTAGTGGAGGTTCACGTCCCACCCAATTCATCCTCGAATAAACCATGATAATATATATGCAATTAAAAAATACCTTACTTTTACTTTACACTTACTTTTCGTTGACATGTTTTCTAAAAAAAAATAAGTCTACCTTCTTTTTAAATGATGAAAAAGATTATAAATAATTTGTTTATAGATAGTATTACTTAAATATGATATAATATAAAGCTAATAGGTTAAAAATTATAAAAGCAATTAATGCCGACTAAAACAATTTACGGAGAAATCGTGATAGATGTTCTTCGGTTAATATTTCGCTCTTACAAGTGTCTCAAACTTAGTGTACGACGCATGCCCGCGTATTCACGCGGGCTACCTTCCTAGTTTGTTTTAATTCCCGATTAACTACGCGTCGTGATCGGTGGTGCCCAATTTATTTCCTTTTTAGTTACCTCCGATTTCCTACAGCGCTAAATATAAAAGGGAGGCTGACCCAAGACTCAATCTCCCCGACAACCAAACCCTAAACCCGATCAACATAGGTGCTGGAGGGGAAACGTGTGAAAATTCCGGGACAATATAGGTGGCGACCGGAAGGCCGCCGCTACCCCACAAGTGATCGCCGGTGACCCCTTCGGGATCAAGCCGGCGTTCTTACTGCTACGACTACTTCCCCTATGCCGATGATCACCGGAGCTGTTCGAGGGACTTCGTCCTCTACTTCCACTCCTGTTGACGACATTGCAGAGGGAAGAAAGAGAATTGCATCAATGGTTTTAAACAACGGTCAGTAACCCTAAAAATTCCGCATTAGGGTGATCATGTTTAGACTAAGCACTCATGTTAGTAGATTATAGTTTCTACACATGAGGTTTACCTGGGCCGGTAGGTCGACGAGGGAAGGGCGAGAGGCCATGGGGGGCACGACCTCCACCCTCCACTGCATCATCGTGCTGGCGTTGTCGCCGGCGACGGAGACGTCCTTGTGCCACCTGCGGAACCTGCCGTTGGCGCGGAGGTACCGGCCGGCGCCGTTGCGGAGGACGAAGGAGTCGCGCCGGCGGAACGCCTGCCACAGGTACCCCGGCGGCGTTGGGCGGACGCCGAGGTCGCGCTGCTCGGCGACGACCCCGTCGGATGGCCCCCTCCCGGCGCCGTAGTTGGTCGCCACGAGGTACCGGCCGTACGCGCCGCGGAGGCGGACGTAGGGCCCCGCGCTGGCTCCCGGTATGACGCCGATCACCGGCTCGACGGCCCACACCGCGTTGTGCACCCCGCGGCGGCCGCACAGGAAGACGCTCGTCCCGTCGTCGGCCGCGGCGAGGTACCTGCTGCTGCGGACGGAGGAGCGCAGACGCACGAAGTGCGCCACCTGGAACACCTCCATTCGATGGCCGGAGATCGCGGCGGCGGTGGCGGCGGCGGCGACGGAGACGGAGATGGAGGAGAAGGGGAGAGTTAGTTAGTTGAGGTGGTTACGCGTCGGCGGCGCCAAAGGCGAGGCTATTCGAAGCGGGAGAAACGGTCTCCGTGACTCACTGACAAGGTGGGCCCTGGGATCTGGTTGGTGGGCCGCGTTGGGGACAAAGCCCACGGCCCACCCAAGGCTTCGTCTCCCTCCTCCTCTCCCCTTCCCATTTCGCCGATCCCACCCACGGCGGCGCCGCCACCGCCACCGCCACCGCCCACCGGACTTTGTGTAGAGAGCTCGATGGGAATCCGCGGCGGCGGAGGAGACCGGCCGGCTCATGGAGGGGAAGATGCAGGGCCACGCGTGGAGGAGGCCGGCTCATGCTTCTTCTTCTCCGTCGATGGGTATGTATCTTCTTTTTCTGAAGCTTTGCTATGCAATTTCGTCATTCGGTATGATTATTCAGTTTCACCAATTTTGCATGTATTCTGTTGGTATAACTAGGACTATCTTGGTTCTGATTATTAGTGCTACGTAATATACAGAGATGCGAAAATATAGAGATTGCTACGTAACAGTGCTGCCGTAGAGGCTTATGGAACAGGACGCACTTTCAGATTAATAGAAAATACAATTACATTGTAGAATGCTAGGCTTGGAAAACAAATCACTCGTATAAGTATTCACATGCTATGTTCTAAAGCTGGTATTATAGTACTGGATTCTCCTGTGCCTTGTTAGGTTACGGACTGAAACCAAAAAGTTGCCTACAGTTTATTTTGCCTCACAAATTCAACTGTCCATCAGGGTAGATTCTTGATGTTCAGTTCTAAACTCAAAACTTCAGTCATTTATTTGCTGATTAGCAGAAATGCTCTAGTGCGGATAGCATCAATTTCCTGGTTTTGTTTTAACGCTTCGTATTAGGATTTTCATGTGGTTTGTTTTGTTTCTTTCTGTTATATTCCATTTCTTTAATGATATTTCCTTTATCAATTTATGAATAAACACAAATTAAGTGGTAGTTCTGCCATCATGTCATGAGATGCTAACAATGTTTTGTGGGACTTTTGGCTTTTGTCATACTGAAGAAGCTGCACACGTTTCCTCATATGGTTACAGAAGTACAGAACCGAAGGAAATTTACTGGGCCGCAGTCCCACAGCTGTAGGTGCATCAAGTATTCAGAACATGCTCCCCGCCAAAAAGAAGTATTCAGAATATGCTATCGTTAGAGTAATAAAACTTGCAAACTTCTGTAAAAGCAACTTACATGAAGCAGAATCTCTTTCCTGCTTCCTTAGGTTCTGTGAGTGCCATTTATGACGCCTAAAGGTCCTCAGAGAAGGTACAAAGGCCAAAAAAAATGGCAGATTGACGGGTGCACATTTTGATTTATGATTTAGCCGTGGCCTTCAATAGGAATTTAAACATGCCTTGCTCCTGTGTAACAGGAAGATGTCGAATCAATTTCTAATATTTAACATGAAGTGAGGTTCACTTTGACAGCTCCTGGAAATTGATTAATCTAGCTGATTTCATACTTCTGCTTATATAAACAAATTATTCAGCAGTTTTGTTTCACCTTCTCACTACTAGCACATCACGGATATATGCTTCCATTTGTGCAATGCTATTGGAGTTTATGTTAAGCTGTTTAGGATGTAGTACCAGGCATGCCTATGGGACTAGTTAGCATAATGGGCCAAAAAATATCTCAAAGTATGAAAGTATGTGGTCTAGAAAATTATGTTACAAACTACCTTACATCGATGTCAATATGCAAGAAATAACATGCTGCATTATGCTCCGTTTGTACTCACAGGGACAGCACGTAATGGAGTTGGCATGATTGAATTACAGGATGTTCCTGCTCACTGAAACAAGTAAATGATGACATGAAAGGCCGAAAGCAGTGTGTTTCTACCCAGGTTTGATCCAAGCTTGTGTCGGCTGAAAATTCATCATCTCTTATCATGTGCTAGCCCGCCTTGATTGATTGATGCTACTGGACAGTTTGGGATTGGTAATTTTCTGGGAGTGCCTTATGGGGACCATCTCCCATCAATTGTTACTTGCCTCCTGAATTACATTTAACTGTGCTATCTTGTTTGCAATTCAGGTAAAGTCTCTGTTTAGGCTGTATCAATCATGCATGTGAACTAGTTAATGCAAAGGACCTAGGAATTGATGAAAGTATTAGGCATCAGCATCAATGGATTAGCAGCAGCTTCTATCATCCTGACTCAATTCTGTACTCCCAGGGACAGCAGTTGCCTGCTGATGTTGCTAGGCCACTAGTACTATGTAGTAGTATACATTACATTGGATATCTCAATCATTTGATTAAACTGTATAATTTTTCGGCGAAAGCTACCTTTGAATGGTGATGTGGTTAGTTTGTAGATCATGCACTGACTAAATTAAGTTTTCCTCTAATGAAAATGGTAGAAGGTTTACTCTGTATGTAATGGAACACATGTAATTTTTGTATGCTTTAATATGAAAATACCCATGCAGTTTATCAGTTTGTATCCAGTGCATTTAGGAATATCTATCTCTAGTCTGCAAGTTATTTTTTGGGGATAAAATCCTTATTGTACTCTGAACTGTTTTACTTGCATGTGATTAGGAGTAGGAAGTAAGAAATCCCCTCTTATCTGCTCATGTGAGACCTAACAGGCTAATCTACCAGGATTAATTAATTAATTACAAAGGAGCAGTTATGGATTATCTTACACTGGAAAAAGAAGTGGCCTAGTCAAGGAGAGTTTTCTTGGAGTGAGCTCCTTTGTGTTGAAAAAGATGATGTTGGGACATATGCAATGGATTTGGGTGCTCAAAGCAGTTGGTCACCCATGTTCTGCTCCATAAATGAAAGAGATGCATGGGAACAAGCCTCATGTTTCCAGGAAGAACAATGGCAAAGGATAACAGATTTGTCTCTTCTCTTTTGAACACCTGTTAATTAGTTTATGAAATCCTTTCCAACTGAAATTTGGCACCTTCTGTGGCAGTCACTACCCATTGCTGATGAACATGGCCTAAGTTTCAGTAAGTGCAATCCCCTATATTAATGCTTGATAAGTACTTCCTCCGTTTCATAATGCAAGACTTTCTAGCATTACCCACATTCATTTAGATGTTAATGAATCTAAACACATATATATGTCTAGATTCATTAACATCTATGGGTACATAGGCAATGTTAGAAAGTCTTACATTGTGAAACGGAGGGAGTAGCAACTCTGAAACTTGAAGATTAAACAAACAGTAATTTCCAATGGAAGTTTTTGCTAATGTTCGTCAGAACACCAGATTTTTTTTTCCTTTTGAATTTTGCATGATTGCCTTAAATTTGTCGTCCATTGTTGCTAATTTGATCAAAACATGCTACATTAGACATGCTGAGGATGTATCATAAATTACTCTGCAAGTTGTAACATCCAAAGTAGATGGATACTAGCATACATCAATGTGCAGAGAGCATATCAAGAATGAATAAGCTCTCTACCAAAAGGATAAATAAAATTCCGATTCCAGCCAAGCCAAGGGCATGAATGAACTCGATAAACCTAACAATCTCTTTATCTCACTGCAAAGCAAGAATTACTACCATGTCACACTATGAACACCCTCGATCACTCACTCACAAGTTGAAACGTCAAAACAAAAAATAAAAAAAGAGAGCAAGGAACAGGTTTAATTAAAATTTGATACTAACTTCCTATTTACATCATAATTAAGCAGGATCAACTCTATAATAATTCTATCATGACGACTCTTAACACTAAGCAGTTAGCATCTACTAATGTTTTTGGTTCATGCAAATATTCGCTCGCCCTCAATGGTAATCACATGTCACTGACAAGTGGGCCCTCAATGGCAATCCCTTGTCACTGACAGGTGGGCCACACGACCACCACCTAACGAACCAACCGGTCGTAAGCTGGACGCACGACAGCCGTCCGATCCCGTGCACACGACAGCATCGGATCGGACGGTCAGTGCAGCCGATGCCGCTTGGCGCTGAACGCCGCCGGCGAGCAGCTGGCCGCCACCGCCGCCGCCGCCGCCGCCATGGGCCTCTTCCCGCAGGCATTGGCGCCGCCGCCGTAGCCGATCACCGCCGCGGAGGAGGTGATCCCGGGCGAGAGTGACGCGCCGGGGTAGACGGCGCCACCGGCCCGGACGCCGACGGGGAGCGTGTCGAGCGCGACCGGCGGCGGGTTGCGCCACCGCGGGAGAAGGCCGGCGACGAGCAGGTTCTGCAGGAGCGGCCCGGCCTCCATGACGGACTGGAGCAGCCTGCCCCTCTGCGGCAGCGGCTTCTTCATGGCGAGCATGTCGAGCACCGCGTCGGCGCCCGCGGCGGCGGCGTGCTGCTGCTTGGCGGCGGGAGGCGGGCTGGCGATGGCGCAGCAGCGCTTGTCGGAGGAGGTGACGGGGTCGAAGAAGGGGTTGTCGGCGGCGGGGGAGGAGACGAGGCTGCCGCCGTCGGAGTCGGTGACGCTGGAGGTGACGAGCGGCGGCGGCTTGGCGGCCGCGGCGGCGAGGAGACGCTGCAGCTGGTCGCGCGCGTCGTCGCGCTCCTTGGCGACATGGCGGACGAGGTCGGCGAGCTTGGCGATGCTCTGCTCCTTCTTCTTGAGCTCCTCCTTCGCCGCGTCCAGCTCCAGCGTTGTCGCCATCAAGCTCTGCTTCAGCTCCTCCATGCTCTGAATCATTAACCACCATATATTCAGTCAGCAACCTCAATTTATTTTTATTTTTTTGCATCAAAATATACTAGTACTATCAATTATACTTTCTTGGATGGATAATTGCAATTAGTCACCAGAGGATTAACGAAGTGATTAAGCAGAGAGATTAGGAGTTAATAGTAGAGTTGATGATGAGGAGACACAAGGTAATGGAAGGGCAGGGAGGAGATGAGATGGATGCATGAGCATGATCCAGAGGGCAAATGATTTCGATCCCTTCCAAATGATTGCATCATGCAACCACCACTTCACTTGGGGAATCAGTCCAATGCATGCTTGGAAAAAATATAATTATATACAAAAACAAATCACTCTCTCTCTCTCTCTCTCTGTTTCTCTCTCCTCATAGGGACCGGAGGAAAAGAAAAAAAAACAACATCATTGTACAGCATCTCACTACAGTGCCAAACTTTTGTTGAAAAAGAAAAAAAGTGAACCAAACCAAACCTGAAATTGTATTCTACTAGTACTTCTGTGAACCGAACCAAAGACAAGTTACAAGAAGTGAGTCTTCTTCTTGGAGTGAATTTTCCACAAGAAAGAAGAAAGAAGAAAGAAGAAGAAGCAAAACTAGTGATGGAAAAGGAGAAGAATTCCAGCACGTCAGCCATGGCGTCGCGAGTCCCCAAGCTTGCCTAACCCGTCTTGACCACGACAAACACGCAGAGAGAGAGAGAGAGAGAGAGAGAGAGAAAGGATGAGAGGGACAAGACAACACATCGATGATTCGCCCCCATCCGCTACGACTCCAAGAACAGCAAACTCATACACGCATTTCGCCGCCGGCCGGCCGGGCGGCGGCGGCCATGGCCGGCCAAGAAATGCGGTGCTCAGAAATCTTTCTTCCGTTTGGGTTCACCGGAGAGAAACAAGACGGCTGGAGATCAAAGACGATGTTTGCCAAATCAATTAATTACCTCTTGCGGCTGCAGATCATCCTGGAAGGCCCAGAGGGAGGAGAGCAGCGTGGCGTCCAGGCCGTCTCCGAATCCGAGTGGCAGCGGCTCCATTGCCATCTCCTCTTCTCCTCTTCCTCTTCCTCTTCCTCTTTCTCTTTCTCCTGGCCACACGCTGATCGATCTGATGATCTCTTCCTCCTCCCCTTTTCTTGCTCTCTCTCTCTCGTACGTGTGTGCTTCTTGATTTGGGAGAAACAAGGACAAGTGAAGAAGAAGGAGGCTTTTGGGTGCAGAGAGATTCAGAGAAAATGTATATATAGGAGTTCTAAGCTAGCAGATGATGGTCTCTCTTGGTTTGTTTTGTTTACTAATCACAGGAGGAGGTTTTTGTGAAGAAGAAGAAGAAGAAGATTAGTAGCAAGAGGTTGTGGGAGAGGAGGAGAAAAATCAGGGGATTAAAGTATATGGAATGTGCATTCCTCCTATCATCTCTTGCCATCTGTGCACACATTTCCTATACAAAGATACTACTACTACTTTCCAAGGGAAGAGAGATAAAAAAAAAGGGGAAAAGGAAAAAGAAAAGTTAGGAGAAGAGGAGAGAAAAAAAAAATGCAATGGGGGTGGTGGGTCCCAACCACTTTTGTGTCTCTTTGTGTAGGTTTGGAGACTTGGAGGATGGCGTGGACAAAGTCTTTGCTTCTTTCCTTATTTACAAGTCTCATGGGGCTACCCCTCTACAGACTACCTGAAATTGATGATTCTTCCTCTTCTCTCTCTTTCAAGTCTCCACAGTATTTTTCTCTGTTTTTTTCTTGGTATTTTCTGCCAGTATATAGTATGTGCTCTAGTGTTTCTCGTATTATACAGTGTACATGTCGGTTTGACTGGAAAAGGATTTTTAATTTTGATTAAGGGCTTATCATCTGTATGTATGCATGCGGTTGATCCTCTATTATCTGAGAGTTAGGAAACATGCACGGATTATTATGTCACATAATTTTCCATATATTTACAAAATTAATTCTGGAAAAATTACAAAACCACCTCAAAAGTCACTTGACGTTTGACATTTTCCACCCCATAAGTTATTTTTATTATAAATGTCCACTCCCTACCTGGTTTTGTTCAAAAAAATCACCCTAGTGCGCACGTGTTTAACCAAATCGATACGTTATCATAAACTGTGAGGCAACTACATGATCTTTACCAAAATTAAATACTTCTAGGAGTATAGTTTGACACTTTTTTTTGGATATTGCATAAATAGAATTGCTGATAAGAGCTTAAATGTTGTTGTACCAGTTTTGCTATGTGCATAAAAAAACTTCAATGAAACGTGAAGAATAAGTCCAACACAAATACTTTGACAAGATTTAATTGCCTAGTTTAGCCTGTGTTGGCTCTACATCAGTGTTAACGAGCAGATTCGGTTAAGCATATGCACACTAAGGTGGTCTTGCAACAAAATTAAGTGTGGGTGGGCATTTGCAATAAAAGAACATATGGGTAGGAGTGAAAAATGAAAAAAAAATGTTAGTCAAGTGACTTCTAGGATGGATTTTACAATTACCCCATTAATTTTTGGTATATATGCACATGAAAAGATAGAAATAACTAGATTAATTTTATAGCTAATTTTAATAAGTATATATGTTTATATATATCTTACCTGTCACTTCTGAGTAGTTAATCAATTAATTTAAAGCCTAATTCTCTTCTTATATATATAGTGCGTATTTGAAAAAATATAATGTAATTATATATATTTACAATATTTACATGGTCACTTTTAAAATTTGTAATTTACAATTTTAAAATGATTTCATTGTTTTTATTTAAAAAATGTGGCCATAAGATATATAGCTGGTCCAATAATTTACACTGACTAATTTTTTTTTCATTTTTCTATTGACTATCAAAACCCTATGCAAGAGTACTACTTTGATTTTTACCGTGCAGACTGTGCAGTGCACGTACTATTAATTATAGTATTAATTACTGCACCACATTAGATTATGGCCTTATATGTGGGTCGTTGCTCATCTTAGCATGGAAGGAATATTCTTCTGTCTGTAATTCAGGTTCCATGCATGCATGCACAGTAAATACTTTCATTAACCCTCATAATTTTGGCAACTTATTACTGTCTCTCTACTTATATAGTAGGTTAATTATTTGGGGAAGATATTGAAATTACTTTTGATTGTTGTTGTGGAGTTGTATTACTATATATGGCGCATATTTATGTTTCCCTTTTCAAAGCTAGGTTGGCTGTTCTATTTATTTATTTTTCCCAGTATTTAAAATTTAAATTTGTTAAGCATAAAGTAGTGTGAACATTGACTAGCACACAAGTACGAGAAAAACTGCGTGTCAGTTCCCTGGTGTGTACACTTTAAATACTCTTATGTGGCATATCTGTTTTTTTGTTTAAGACAAATCTGTGTAGAGATCGATGTGGAGCATAATATGTTAATTGTGCGTACATATGATCGACACTGTCCATTTCCCAATTAAAAAAACCAACAAACCCGAAAGGTATCTGAAGCCAAATGATTAACAACCTGGGTTACAAGTCCAGGTACACTTAACGTTCAGGGGTCATGAAAGAGCACAGAATTAAACTAGCTAATTAATGCAGGATAATTAAATTATATCGATCGTAGAGAGGCATGTCAGGACAATGACTTGCTGCCTCGTGTCCTCACAATCGCGAAAGTTGTCTCGACATGCATGTTTGTTTTTTCTTAATTTTTTCAGGAAAAAAAAATCTAGTAACATACTCCATTCGTATATAATATATGTGTGTTTTGGTTAATAATTAGTTAACACCATAGATAATGTAGAGCCAGCTAAACCATAGTTATCACATAATCTTTAAAAATGCACCGATTAATCGCATAATCTATATACTTTACGCGTACAAGCTAAGGTACAACGGCTATCGTTTTAGTGAATTATCTCCATGCATGTTATGCTAAAGATCGACTTCCAAAGACAATACATCGTATGTATAAATGATAGTCCCAGTGTAAGCAATATCCACCGGAGTCGTAGCAAAAACGAGTTTTCATACACAATTAACTATCACTGCTTATACGTATATATACTTCGTTGGATTATAAATATATTTGACATAACTACGAGGAGATTGTGTTAAAAAAATATGTCCTGAGAAGAAATTAAGACGGGGAAAAGGATCAAAGAATAATCGACAGAAAGTTTATATAACGTGGGAAATGAAGCAAATATAGACAAATTAAAGAGGACATGATCAAGGTACACACACAGTCATCGACAGGCATATGCAACAAAGGCATAGAGTTGACCTTGGACAAAACTGGACATGTACATTATCTGGCAAATAGCCACCTCATCAGCTAGCTCGCCTGTGGATGTGTGTGTATATATATATATTCCCTTCATTTCTAAATATTTGACGCCGTTTACTTTTTAAAATATGTTTAACCGTTCGTCTTATTCAAAAATTTTAAGTAATTATTAATTCTTTTCCTATCATTTGAGTCATTCTTAAATATACTTTTATGTATACATATAGTTTTACATATTTCACAAAAGTTTTTGAATAAGACGAACGGTCAAACATGTAAAAAAAGTTCAACAGCGTCAAATATTTAAAGATGGAGGGAGTATTATCTATCTATCGGCTGATCTTACGTGTTTAGCCAAGCCAATAAGTACTCTCCATCCCATAAAAAACCAATCTAGTACCGGATGTGACACATCCTAGTACTACGAATCTGAATATATATCTGTCCAGATTCATCGTACTAGAATATGTTATATCCGGTGCTAGATTTGTTTTTTATGGAATGGAGAGAGTAAGTAACAATGGACATAATTCATTGAACACAAGCAACAAAATTAAACAGAGGAGGACACTATATAGACAGTAGTGTACGTATTTGTTCATGCCGACATTATGAATGCAGCTGCAATAGCTCTAGCTAGTCGCCGGCCGTGCATGTACAGTCTACAGTGCTAGCTCGTCCAAACCAAACCAAATTAAACCTTCGCGTCCGTATATAAACCCTACGTCCAAAAAAAGAAAAAATAAACTCTGGCTATGTATCTAGACACATGCATATCCAGGTTAATTTATAGCTAGATAGAATTAGTTTGGAGGTGAGGAAGAAGTTGGGTGTATATCTAGGCGGGGAAGGAGTTGGGTGTGAGGTGACGGGGAAGGAGTATATCCAGGTTAATTTATAGCTAGATAGAATTAGACACATGTATATCCAGGCGGGGAAGGAGTTGGGTGTGAGGTGACGGTGAGGTGGTGACCGTGACGGTGGTGGGAGGAGGCATGGCGGCCTCGGACGGCTTGCCGAGGGTGTGGCAGACGACTGCATCGGCCGGCGCAGCATCGTTTGGAGGAGGGGTCGGAGACCGGCTGGACGCAGAGTGGCGTAGCCGATGGCAGCGGAGGCCGGTTCGGCGCGAGAGGCGCGGGCGGTGGAGATGGAGGCCGGCTTGGCACGAGAGGCGCAGCCGATGGAAGGAGGCCGGATTGGCGCGAGAGGCGTGGCCGGCGGTGGAAGAGGCGACCTCGGTGCGTGGTGGAGCTGCCGGTGGGTGTGGCGCAGTCTTCGGCACACGAAGGCTGGCCGGCGGGGGCGTCGGTGCAGGGGCCCCACATGTCGGCAGAGTTTGAGTGGTGGTGGAGCATTAGTGCATCAGCCGTAGATTTGTAGGTGGTGAGCGGCGGGTGAAAACCCTGCCCGGCCTTGGCCGGACCGACAACGATGAATTCCCCCTCCTGAGGGTGTTGTCGTGCTGTCTCACCCCTCAAGGGTGATTGCCGGGCGAAAGCCCAGTCTTGGCTCCTTTGAGCCCTGATGGACGGCAGCGGCGGTCTTCCGTCGCTTCTCTTTTTGAAGACGTCGTTTTGGCACCCCCTTGCTGTAGGGCGATCTCGTCTGTGTTCCTTTGTTGGTCTAGCGGCGGCCGGTCTGGTGCTAACCTTCTCCTGGTCGTGTGTGTTGGCGCTGCCGGTGTGTGGGTGGTGGTATATTTTTTTCTTTCTCCTGGTTATGACCCTCCAGGGTTGTAATCTTGTAATTTTTTCCTGCTCTATCAATAGAATTTCGCATCGTCTCGTGTGAGTCGTTCAAAAAAAAAGATAGAATTAGTTTTATTTTTGGATAGAGAAAGTATGCAATAACAGGTCTGCCGTGGGAGCGGAGTGAGGAGGCCTCGAGGCCTCACTAGTCACTACTGATGCTAGGACTGTGAAAGCTTCACTAACATTTTCTGCCGAACATATATAAAAGAAGAGATTGAAGATTCGTCTAGTTTGTTAAACACACCTTACTATTTCTTTTGTAGATCGATCCGTCCTGGACTGCATGTGTATGAAAAATTTGAGATTTTGGAGAGAGAGAAACGTTCAATTGTGAGCATGTTAAAGATTGAACGCCGGATCTCAAGGTTAAAACCACATATCCCTTATCACTGCACTATCAACCACGTTTCAAGAACCAGCATGTGTACTATTAATTACAAGTAGCCGGCTGGTGTGTGGATGGTTGACAT